AAAATATGCAGTTTAAACTGGAAAAAAGTACTGTTTATCAGTATAAAATATACGGTTTATCCTGGAAAAGTATACTGTTCGCAATATAAAATATAAAACAATATACTGTTTATTAGTATAAAACATATGGTTTTTCTACTGTTTACAAGTATAAAACATACGGGTAAAACTGGAAAAATATACTGTACGCAAACCATATATATGATATGGTGTGCAGAATACCGAATATATACAGTATGTGAAAATACTGTAATTATACGGTAATAATACTATAAATATACTGTTCGCAAAATACGAAAATACAGTATACTAACTGTATATATATTTTTTATAGGGCATACAATAGGGTGATTTTATATTTTCAAAAAATATGAAGCATTAAAATATTTTATTGTGATTATAAATACAAAATTATATTTTATTTATATTATATTAACACATCATAATCTACAATTCTACAAAATTTTAGCAAAATAAACTGGCCAGATGATTTTGATCACCTTCTGTAATTAGCTTTAATAATTACAAATGTTCTAAATAACTATTTCTAGAATATAATGAAATAATTAAAATAAAGGAACTGATATTTGTTTTTGATAGATTTTAATTAAAAATTTGAACTTCTCATTTCTTTTTAAACCAATACTGTTACTTTGACATCTTTTGCTACTTTACTCAAAAGACTTATTATAATAAAGTAGTACTACAATTATTGTGCAATATTGATATATTTCATGGGCCATCTGGTATAAAATATAAACATCACTGGTAAAAAAATGGTCTATCCTACACATATCTTACACATATCTTACATATATCGGGTACTCAAAATGTAGAAAATCATACACAAATAATACACATATCATACACATATCAGGTACCTGATATATGTATGATATATATATTAGTACCTGATATGTGTATGATATGTGTATTATTTGTGTATGATTTTCTACATTTTGAGTACCCAATATGTGTAAGATATGTGTAGGATAAATCATTTTTTTACCAGTGCATGATGTTCGCAAGTAAGATAAAATTGAATGACTCTAACATGCTGTAACTTTATGTTATATAAATACAGGCTGCATATTCACTATTCTTTCAACATTGTTTGATAAAAATTGATAATAAACATCAAATATAAATAAATTAATAACCAATAGTGTGCTAAGAACTGGGTCAAACTGGACAAACTAATTGAAAAGTAATAAATAATGAATCTCTTTGATTTTCTATTTGTTATAATTACTTCTATGTATTCTATTACATAAAAAAGACCTATACATTAGAGAATAACATCCTAATCTATTGATTCTATTGTTTGACCCCCCAGGATTAATTTCATTTCAAAATATACTTTTCACTTAATAAAGTATACATAAAATCAATAACTGAGAAAAATATTTCTAATTAGAATGAATAGGCTAAAGCTTGATAATATTCAAAAGATGCGACATTTTTATATATATGGGAATCTAATCAGATCATCGATCAAATTAAACACTCAATTAGCTTTTTGTATTTTATTTTATTCAGAAGCAGGAACCGTTAGAAAGTCTGAAGCATTCTATTTAATTCGATCGGTTAGAACATAGATGAAATTACGATAAACTAAATGTCAAAATTACATAGTCAATTTTATCTTTATTTATAGATTGTTTTTATATAGACCGTGCCAAGCCCCTTAAGTTACTGCTTCTTTGTATAGAGTGAAGAATAGAAAATCCTGCACAGACTACTATATGAAAGGCTATGCAATCGGCAAGTTGAAAAAACAGTCGTAGTACCATTAGCACTGAGTTATGTGACGAAAATATTATTATTAGCTTTTAATAGAGCTGTTGTGCGAGTTCCAAACGTAGAATTTATTTTTAAAGAATTTGAAACATATGATGATCACGTGCATTTGAATGGGCAAAAAGGATAAAAAAAAATCATACTTATGTTATTGAGTGCTGAAAAGAACCCTTAGCAATATATAAATAGATCGGCTCATCTCTTTAGGGCCAGAATTACGTAATACCGGAATTATCCAAGAAATGATATTTTGGTCCTTCACATGGTGATACAAGAGTGAATTCATTGTTATTACGAGGAATACCCTCGAGCATTCCTCGCTATGGTTCTTTATATTTGTACTCCAGGGTGGCGCTGTCTTAATTAGGCGGTTTGGTTTACAGTTTTATAGTAATTGCTTTAGATTCTTTTATTTAGTACCCGCGTAATTAGCACTGTAACTTTGTTCACATGGATTTTAAAAATAAAAATAAAGAATTAAACAAAGAATCTAATTTTTTTACGAATATCAATAAAGATAAATATTCATTAATAGAATCCAGAAAATTTTTGTATTTTTTTGTCTAGAATGAAAGAAAATTATATTTATCGTAAATGTTACTCAACATATATAAAACAAATTAGTAATCTGATTGGGCATTTAAATTTCAAATATAAAAATGTTGAGACATGAAATCACATAAAATTTCGACAAAAATACTCTTTACATTCGTGATAAAGAACACATGAAATATCGTATTCGGTTATCCAAACTATTTTTTATGTCAGTGTTTTAAATACTTGGTCCCCTAGGCTGGGGTATAGCCTGGCTTTTGCTTCGATGTGAGCTATTTGGACTGAACGTTCCGAGCTTTTCAATTGGATTGCAGCAATATTTATAGCAGGAATGGCAGAAGGATCTGGGCAGGATGTTCCTTGAAAGATGGAAGCGTGAATTGTGATCCAGGATCTCTGAGTAGGAAGATTATGCAGCGATGAAAGAGACACTTTCTTTGCTCGTCACTATACCAAAAAAACGTGTAAGAAACTACATTGCACGAGTGATTGCAAAAAGTTGTGATTAAAGCCAGCAAGTGGAATGCAAAGGATAAGAATATACAGCTAACAAATATAATCGATATCATTGCAAAAGCAAGTTTGATGGAGGCTGTTCTATGCAGAAGGAATAATCGCGAAGTGGGAAGACTTGCTAAGGAAATTGGTTTTGGTACGAAATCTCAAAAATCATTTGAACGATATAATGACTTGTCGAGATTTTGATCGGATACCAAGGAAAGGAAATTATCTGGTCATTACCCACATGTTCTAATGGTTACTCGTTGTCATGGGTGCACTGCGTAGAATTGTCTTGCGATATTGGTTTTGTTATCGTTGCATTTATCATTGTTAGATCAATAGTGAGTCAAGTGAGTGGCAAAACTTGATAGAGGTATATTGCTAAGGCATTCAGATGCAGACATGTACTAATGTACTATGGTAGCAATAGCCAGGTTTATTGATGATCCGTCTGTACGTAATCCTAATCAACAACTGTATCGTATGATATCAGGAACTCCTTTTCCAGGATTAAATGCAAGTAAACAGATTTTGTTGAAGCATCAGGTGCATGCGGGTGGGCTTTGCTTCCTTTGTTAAATCGGAGGACACACAATATGACAGAAGGCCTAGAATATGCCAAAATGCTACAGGAAAGAAATACTTTATGCATATTGTTTACCTTCAGAAATTATAGGGATCGTATGAATCGTGAAATATTTACGGCACTGCGTTTTTTTGTGGGCGTGTAACGATATTTTGTAGCGTGCAATGCGTTATGAACTCTTATGTAATGCACGGCCTAAAAGTACTCATACTTATTTCATCTTAGTTATGATAAGTTCTTTTTTATTACTTTGTTTAAGTCAAGTTGGACCGACTAGCGAAATAAAAGTAAATGGCATCGTACAGACTTCCCTTCTCGTCACAGGGATAATATTTTGGTGGATTGCGTATTTCATTAAACGTAACAAAAAGTTTAATTATGTTGCGTTAGGATTGGGATTATTTATATTTGTTCTTAAGTAATAGTGGTAATAAATCAATGAATTTTGGGCGAGAAATTTATATAACAAAAATTAACAGGACTAATATACCATAATTTTAGATTATCGTTGCCAACTTTTTTTTCTATATTCAATTTTGTTATTTTGCATAAAGGAAAGTTAGATAGTAATTTTTCTAAATTATTGATTTTTTTTTAACTAGTAATATTAATTATATAAAATTACGTAGATAAAATGATATAAACAAAATCTTAAATCAATTGTAATCTTAGACTAAGGTAAAAATAAATTATTATTGCATAATATCATTGATATTTGCATTATAAATTTATACCATTTAAAATAAATATCACATATGAGTATAAATGGCTATGCTAAAAACGAGGTTTTATTTATTCATATATATGTATGAAGCGAGATCGTGGACGTCTGCATAATAATAGATTCGCAAATGTGTCGTTTTTTACCAGTACGATGAGCGATGAACCTGAATTGACCCGCATAATATTAAAGGATGCCACCAGGGGGGTCAAGTCCAATACTTTTACTATACATTTATTAGATAAGGATATTTAAAATATCATCCGAACTGTGAAGAAATAAGCTGCTATCTTAGGACAACTTATGTAGATGAAAATGGTGCCACTCGTATTACTACTACTGATCCCGATTTGATTGTACGATATCCAACCAGTCGTAACAACTAGAAATGTAAATCGCTATTTAGAAAATATTATTCGAAATGAAAAGTGGGTGGAGTTACAAATTTTATTTGGGATCACATACATATAAAGAGTTGAATGCATCTGGATTTAACTGTATAAAGTTAACCCGAGTTAGACTGTTAACAAAAGACAGATATGCACTGCACTACCGGTTTCACTGAAAATAAAACCTTATTAGGACAAAGTGCAAAAGTATACAATATTTTATTATGTATAAATTTTTAAAGTATTTAAAAATATGTTTACATTCTCTTTATTTAGTTAATATAGTTTGTATTAAATATAAATTTTATCTAATTAATCAGCATAAATATTAAATTAATTAATATATTACTAATTCTCACTTCCACTTGTGCTATCAACTTGTAGCCATTTCTGAATAACATCAATTAAAACATCTTCCATTTGTTGATAAACAAAAAAATGATCCACACCTTTCAACTCCACAACATTCCATCTTTCATTCCCCAATACATTATTATCTTTAATCCATTGTTTATATTTACTCGCTCTTGTGAATTGATCACTATCACCAAATATAAATAATACTCTAGTTGAAGAAGATGAAAGTAAATTTTGTAAATTAGTTTGATAAGCTGACGAACGAAAGAACGTAAGAAACCATATTACAGATAGTGGTAAAGATATTAAAACAAATGATGTTGTAAATGGATACTGCGTTGGTGATGATGTCAATGATGTAGCCATTAATGATCCATAACTATAGCCCTACATAATTTTGAAACGCAAAAAAAAAGGGAAAGAATATTTTAAAATTTGAAAGAATTTTTACATAGAAAATTTCATAACTTACGATAATTATAACTCCAGATATTTTTGGAATTATTACTATGTTATCATCACTTATTTTTCCGGAATTTGCTAAAAAATTTAACATCGTCCTGAAATCATTATTTTCTGGTTCTCCTGTCCAACTTGTTCTTCCTTTTGATTTTCCACTTCCTCTAAAATTAAATGCAAGCGTCAAATATCCTTTACGAAGAAAGAAATTTTCAACTGTAACTACTACATTATTATTATTATTACCACCTATTCAACATGTAATTATTAAAAAAAAATATATTATTCTTAAATTATATCACTGAAAGTGAATTTATAAAAGAATTAAAATAAACGAACCTAATGGACCATAAGGATGTGATATGATAACGGCTTTATCTTCTTGTTCTTGTACATTTTCTTTGGTCTTCCAATAGGATAATCTTGCTTCTAATCGAATACCATCATGTATTGAAGGAAGAAATATCTCTTGAACTATTTTTTGTTGCGTCATAGTAAGAAGGTTATGCAAGTAATAATTTTTCATTCATGAGCATTTAATTTGTGTTTTGTTGTACAAATAGTTTTTTCACGTGAATCTATTTAATCTTTTAATCATAGGAGCTTCCGATGTTGATCAGAATTGTTTTTTAACCGTGTTACAAACAATAGGATTCGATATTTATATGAAGGAGTTACACGCTCATTCTATTTTCTTTTCTTTTCTTAATCCGTAATAATATGGGGAAATTCTATTCTAAACAAACTAATATATGGACGAAATCACGATCAACAAAAGAATTACCAGTATATCCTCATTTAACAATATCAAATTTTCCTAAAAACGAAGGAGAAACTATAATACTTAAGGATGGTAGATCATTAGGATTTAAAGAATATAATTTTAAACATATAACTCAACATCCAATTACAAATAATTTAAATAAAGAACATGTAATATTATTAATTCCTGGATTGCCTTGTACAAGATTCTTTTGCCATCCACAAGTTCTCTCTTCTTTAGAATTTCATCAACAACAAGAACCAAAAATTCCTAATAACATGTCGACAGAATCATTAAATTCTTATACATTACAAATTAAATTATATGTATTAGAGAGACCAGGTATTGGCTTATCAACTTTTGCTAAAAGATCATTTTTGGAATTTTCTCAAGATATTAAAGAATTTTGTGATCAAAAAAAAATTGAAAATTGTTCCTTAATCGCATACTCTGCTGGTGGTCCATATGGATTAGCTGCTGCTTATTCTTTAGGAAAATCTACTGATAATTCCAGTAAACCTTTAATTACGAAAGCGGCTATTATTAGTTCAATCGCACCTTATAATGTACCTAATCTCACTAGTAATATGCCCTTGAAATTAAAATTTGCTTGGTGGTTAACAAAAAATTGGACTGGATTATTATCATTAATAGCAAGAATGGAATCAAATGCAGTTATGAAAGACCCAGTTAAAGCAAGTAGAGAAGGTCGTAGTGATGCACCTCAATCAGATATTGAATGTATCGAAAATTTAAAAGGCGTTGAAGAAATGTTTATTGAAAGTTCACTAGAAATGTATTCAAGAGGTCAGATTGAAACTGAATGTTATGAATATTCTTTATGGGGAAAAGATTGGGGTTTTCAATTAAATGAAATCAGTGGTGGTGTAAAATGTAAAGTTTGGCATGGTGAAGAAGATAGTGGAACGACTATATCTATGGGTAAATATATTGCATTACAAATTCCTGGTTGTGAAGCTAGTTTTGTTGAAGAAAAAGGTCATTTACTTTATTTTGAAGTTTGGAATGATATTGTTGATTGGTTGGTTACTTAATAATTTGAGAGATTGTTTTGAATGTTTATGATGTTCATGATCATAATTAGAAAATAATAATTAATTTAATAATTTAAAAATTTGGCGTTTTTTATATTTCATATCTTCTGAAATAAATTAAATTTTGAGAATTGCTAAAGTCAATACCTGATACCTGTTACATTCTTATATTCTTTAATCATAAACATGTAGTTGTAAGAACCTTGGTCAAATATTATAATGTTATCATTTGAATATTAGCTTTTTTTTTAAATGGTTGACGCCAAGTTTAACTCTTTGCTCATGTATTATATAATTAAATATAAATTATAAATAACATAAATATTTGGTATTTATTAGCTCTGTAATAATAATTTACAGTCGACTCTGGATATAACGAACCCTCTGTTCCAGTGGATTTAGTTCGGTACAGAGTGAATTCGTTATATAATATACCGAACTAGTTTTCTTCAGGTATTTAGGCCAAATTTGTAATGCTGGCCAGAATTATGGCCGGTACTATAAATTTTGCCTGGATTACTATATAGTCATATGACCGTTCGTTATTGAAAGTATAAAGTTATTATATAGCTGATATATAGGAGCTCATTTCAAATGGGTTATATAGTATTTTATTATAAAAGTTCATTATATTCAATAAAAAATAAGTTCTGAAAATTCTGGTTCAGTATAACAAAAATTTTGGTATAAACAGTTTCATTATAACCAAGAATCTAAAGATCAAAAAAAATCCTAAAGATTAAAATACTAAAAAATTATTAATGACTATAATAAAAAATCTGTTAACTATTATTACAGCATTTGAAAATTAATTTGTTTGATTTTTTTTTTTTATTAACCACTGCATATTTATTAAAGGACAAGCCAGGTAAAAAAAGAACATACAAAAGTACATATTGGAACTACCTAACTCTAATTATTAATAAACTACTTATCATTCCATTTTAGGATTCTACATATATACAGTCAGGTAATTATACAACTATATGAGTATAGTATCATGTAAAATAAACTTTATCTTAGCTTTAATGAATCCTATAATCTAAGTAAACAAATTACAAAACTAATAATCCTAATATGAACCATATTACCATTATAAAAACATCAAAAACAAAAATAAAAGTAAAAGGTTAAACCCCTCTATAATTTCTATAGAGTTCTTCTACTTATCAGTAAAATGGCTTACAATAATCAGAATCAATACTTTTTGTCTTATGTTTTATCTACTAATAGATGTGCTATTCTAAAGAAGTCATATAAAGAGTTAGCATGTTGGAATAAGAACTCATAAATATATTCAATTAGCAGCTGTAGTAATCCATCTTAAATCCATAAATACACCAAATTTAACTAAAATTCTTTGCTTTAAATAATATAATATTTTTAATTTTAATAATCCTTCTGCTGATTAATTTAAATTAGTAAAAATTAAAAACTAAAATCCACTAATTCCATTAGCCTCCTTTTATTGACTGATTTATATAAATCCAAAAAAATTAGGTAATACCAAACCTTTAGCTTAAATGATCAATATTCCAATACTTCCAATTTTTCAAAAAAAAACTAAGAGTAAAAATGCTAAAATTTCAGAAAAAAAGAAAAAACTAAAAAATAAAAGAGAAAGTTATAACTCTCAGAAAATTCTGAAAGAAAAATTTAAGTAAAAAAAGTAATAAATATTAAGTCTCCATCTACTATTACAACTTTTCAAATGTTAACTGATAAAAAGAAAAAGTTCGCTTTTTAAATAATTACCTCTACTTCAACTTATATATTAATAAAAAGACATTTGCAATACTTCTAAAAATAAAGAAATAACAGGAAAACTTTATACTAGTATAGAGTTCAAAGCCTAGCTGCTTAATATATAACTGTTGAAATCCAGTGAAAGAAAAATTTTATAGAAATAAAATTATCTTTAGTAAAAACTACTTCAAGTTAAATAACTTTATCAAAATGAAAAGTTAAAGGTTTGTTCAAGTCTTGAAAGAATTTTTAAAATAATGGTATGAGAAAAACCAAAGTTTTTCCTTTAGGGGCATGCCAGAAATCAGCTGATTTCTCTCAATTAGTAGCCTTAACCCCCCACCCCACCTGATTGAAATCTGATTGGCTAAAAAAATTATTACTATTAAATATTAAATATTATATATAATAATTAATATTATATAATTATTTTGGCTTCTAGTAATTCAATTTGAACAAACTTTTTTTTGTTTTGTAAAGCTAGACTTTTAAAGCTAAATGAGAGCTATAAATTAAAAAAAAGTTTATTAAAATTGGATCACTAGAAGTTAAAATAATTGCATTATAATAATTATTATTATAATATAAATTATAAATACAATTATCTTGGCTTCTAGCGATTCAATTTGAACAAACTTTTTTTTGTTTTGTAAAACTATATTTGTAGAATTAAATAAGAGCTATAAATTAAAAAAAAGTTTATTAAAATTGGATCACTAAAAGTCAAGATAATTGCATTATAATAATTATTATAATGTAAATACAATTATCTTGGCTTCTAGTGATTCAATTTAAACAAACTTTTTTTGTTTTGTAAAGCTAGATTTGTAGAGCTCAATGAGAGCTATAAATTAAAAAAAAGTTTATTAAAATTAAATCACTAGAAGCCAAGATAATTGCATTATAGTAATTATAAATAAAAATTTATTTATTTTATTACTAAAAGAGTAGTAGAATTAAGACTATTACAAATAAAAGAAGAAAGTAATTTCATAGAAAAAAGCTTAAACCCAATATGCATGTATAGAACTTCATTCTTCATCCCCTACGGGACCTTACTCTTCGGTCGAAACTATTCGATAAAGTAGGACTACGCTAATTAATCAAATGGGATTATAAATAAAAATAATTAAGGGTAGAGTGTTTTAGTCGATCAAGTCATAATAAAAATAAACTAAAAATTTTAGGATCAGATGATGGTACATATTATCGGATAATTTACTGGCATAATGTTTTACCCAATTAAAATCGGTTATTTTTTTATTTAGAGTAAAAAAAAAATTATTTTTGACGACTTCTAACACTATAAATCCAACTTCCTATATTTGCCCTTTCAACAGCATTTTCAGTTACACCTATGTAAATAAGATTACAGGTTATTTGGGAAGTAGGAGTTGGCTTACTAAGCTTGAATTTGACTTCGACCAAGTCACGAATTACAAGATTTTCAAGCAAGTATGCAACTTCTTCTTGTCTTTTAAGAATACGGTTATAATTTTCTTTATAAATATCTAAATGGTTTAAATTTTTTTTTATAACTGACGCGTTTTTTGACCTGCAAAAAACTTGAACAATATCATCACGTGTTGTGTTCTCGTTATTGTTTTTCATATAATTTGTAACTGCATCAATCACTCGCAACATGTACAAAGCATCTTGGCGTGCATCTTGAATTATAGGACAATGACTTTGACGATGTAAACAGTTATCACACTTTTCACAAGGTAAGGCTTCTTCATCACCAGCCCAAGAATAGTATTGCATAAGTAATTTCTGGCGGCATTCATATTGTGATTCACAAAAGAACATTACCTCTAAAATTTTCTTTTGTCTTTCTTCAAGATACTCTTGGTATTCTAAATCATTTGTCGAGCTAAATTGAATAAAATGAAACAATATTAATGTAGAATTGATATTGAAAAATAAATAAAAATAAAATCCAAAACCTTTCTTCGCCTGCAACAATTCCATACACAGTTTTGATATCTTGTCGTGAGTAATAAATGGTATGTTTTGCTTCTCTTCTATCACGTCCTGCCCTTCCAGCTTCTTGAATAAGATTTCCTAAACATAGAAATGTTAATAATTATTGTATTTAAATTTCAATGAATAGTAAAAATATTTACCTAAACTAAGTGGAAACGTGTAATGAATTACCAAGCGAACATTAGACATATTGATCCCTAGTCCAAAAGCATTTGTTGCAACCATGACTTGAGTTAAACCTGCTTTCCAGCGTGTAATTGATTGATGCCGTGTTATGCTTTCTAGTTTACCGTGATATATATCTAAAGAAATATCAAGCTTTGTTCTAATCAATTCTAATATTTCTTCACAACTTGCTGGTGATGCACAATAAATTATACAATATTCATTTTCAATTTTTTGAATTTGCTCGCAAATTTCATTGATAGTCTTCTCCTTAGAACTTTTGGTTTGAACTTCAAAAGTAATTTCGGAACGTACAAAAGAGGAACTCCGAATAATATTAAGATCACCCACTTCAATATTCATAATCTATTGTATCTTTCGAGCCTCGTTAGTCGAACATGTAGCTGTAAGCATCATAAGATGAGATAGAGGAAACAATTGCTTTAATGTACCCAAATTTTTCCATGCTTTTCTATAAAAACAGTAAAATAGATAGTTAATTAGAGATATTAGCTTTATTTTGTTATTTATTTATAGACTTACCGAAAATATTCTTGTTCAACTATGCAATGTACTTCATCTATTACAAAACGAATTGATCTTATTTGGCTAATTCTCATAAGCATTGAACGAAAAGCAGGATTCTTGTGAAACTTCTCAGGAGTTACAAATAAAACACGCAAAAAACCAGCTGCAATCTCTCCAAATACTTTTTCTTGATAATTAGATGGATGATTCGTTGATGTATATAAGCCAGCACATGGAATTCTGATATTAATAAGTTCTCTAATCTGATCATCAATCAGCGCTTTTAATGGTGTAAAAATAACGGTAAGTCCTTCACTAATCAACGCAGGCACTACCCAACACAATGTTTTTCCACTACCAGTAGGTAAAATTACTAGAGTATTTTTTTTGTTGATAAATGACATGATAGATTCATATTGCTTTTCGCGATAACCAGAAAATTCAAATACTTGGTTTACTACCATATCAACTTTTTTCTCAATAGAAATTTCAGTATTTGGAATCTCGAATGGTAAAGTATACTTTTGATTTGGAAACTGGTTTTGAAGACCGGAATAAAGATAAAAATAACAGACTTTACATAAACCAATTGCAGAATACTTTGGAAAAGAAAGACAAGCATGGCATTTAAGCAGAGACATAAAATCATGAATAAGGTGAGAAAATGATGGAATAAATTCATGAGTTTCAATTTCATGTTTAACATTTTTTCCATATGGTACTAAATCCTATTAGCAAATAATTCATTCTAGTTACAACAAAAGGATGCAATCAACAGAAAAAAAAAGGAAATATAATTACTTGGTCAAAATCAAACATTTCGGTTTGTTTTTTTTGTTCATCAATTTTTTTCCCTCTTTCTTCATTACGTTGTGTGATTTCCTTTTGGTTCTTTTGCCTTTGCTGTTGTTTTATATCCAGCATTTTTTTTAGATTAATATAATCTTCAACCGAAAGGTCAGATACTTCTTCTATAGATCGCATAATTTCAATCAAAAATTCAATTTCATAATTATTATGTAGTATAGCACAAGCATGTCGAGCTTGATATGACTTGTAGTAATCAATTAATTTATTAGTATAGCATAATTTTATTCGGTTAAATGCCTCATTATGGGAGGTACGAATGGTAGTAATTAGGCTTTGTTGTGTTGGAAGACGGAATACTTCTATTAACATAGATCGAAAAGAAGCACGTCTGTGATTATCATATTTTAGCAAATTTGGTTCAGGTAGTTCCAAGTCAACGTTAGATTTATGCCAACAAAAATCTTCCCAGCATAATGAATGATCACCAGAAAGATGTGCAACTAATCCATTAATTTGTAAATCCGATACTTTTTGATCTTCTGGTGTTTCAATATCGGTATCTTCTTTTCTTGCAGTAGCAGCATATACAACTCGAGTATAATATTTCATTATTACATTTTCATAATCTTTCCAAACTGCATTCTTTGCTTTAGATAATAAAATTAAATAAATGAACAAATATATATTTACAATTAAGAAATTATTAAATACAATCAATACCAATTTTTTTCCGAATGTTTTTGCCTATATGCTTTAGATCTCCATATATTTTATTTACTGAACGAATACTAGATAAAGTTTTATTACTATTCAGGTCTCCATCAACACCAATATCTAACATCAAATCATATTTATCTAAACTCGGTTGAATTTTCTCAAGAACTTCAATAAGAATAGCGTGCTCCATCTGACGTGATGATTTATCAAAATTACCTTGGTGAATAATTTGAGATCCTTCTTGATCTTTTATTTTTTTGCTTCGTGACTTTTCCACAACATAAAAGGCAATTACAGGACGGTATGTAAATTCTAAATTGAATAAACTAATAAACAAATGCATTTTTACGTAATTAATATACATAATATATATGGAAATCATACTCACCGGAAAGTTCTTTTTGTAAAATTAATTCACCACTTGCTTGGTTCGCATTTCTTACATGAGACCAGGATACATCAAAACTCACTGGTAATATTTTTTCTCCCATATTTACAATATGTGAACAAGCAATTTCAAGAGCCTCTTCTGCGCTAGTTACTGCTGCATGGTGCAATGTATCAAAAAATTTTTTTTGATATTGATGATAGGTTTTTTTTACAATTTGTGATGTAATACCGATCGTTGAAAATATTGTTTCCATCTGTTGACGATTTGCACCTCCCGCTAATCCTGCACCAGATACTAAAATGCCAAAATTATTTTGATATGTTTCATTTTTATATTCTGTTGTTTTTTTACAATCATTACAAAAAATATGAGGTTTAACACTAAAACCTACGCTAATAACTTCCAATTTTTTATTAGAACTATAACATCTTGGACATGGTTGAGTAAAAAGTGTCTTCAAATATTGTCTAGTATCAATTAAGATTGTTGATCCAAGTTTAGCCTTTGAAATCACTTCCTCTATCTTTTGATCCAAGTTTTGATTTTCATTAATAGTAGAAGAACCTTCTTCCTCTCTGTGATTATTCTGTAAATTTTTATCTATTTCGATTTTAAGCTGTTTTTTTACTCGATATAATTCATTTTTTATTTCAAAAAATTGTACTGCTAATGCTTGTACACTTAATCCATCTATCGAAAGACCTTCTTGTGATACTGTCATACCTGACATAATATTATTAGCCGAATTAGATGATGTGATATCATCCAAAATTGCAATCCCTTTTCTTTTACATGACCGCTTTAATGTAATACCTTTGTTAATAATAGCATAGTTTTTTTTGGCATCTTTGAATATTGTTGGTAATTTGGCATTAATAATAGAACGAAGAAATTCTACATTATTTTTATCATGAAATCCTAAAAGATCAAGCATGGATATTCTGCCCTCTCCAGGTAAACGTGCAATTAAACTTGCAAAAAAATCTGGTTTTCGTGACGAATATTGAACATTAGTAAAGGTTTCGTCCCTACCATAATCTGCCCAATAAAAAATCAAAGTGTTATCTATGTTCTTTTCAATTGATAATTGGACAAAAGACTTATGAACTTTGGTAAATATAGTATATCCAGGAAGAATAGGAACCCATGTTCTGTCTTCATATTCAGGTTCACAACCATTAACTTTAATATCCAAATAACCACTAGTTGCAAGGCTTTCTCCTATACCAACTTCAGCATGTAAAGGTAAAACTTCATACTTTCTAGTATTATCTCGGACTAAAATACTTCTATTTTTGCGTTTAAACAAATAATATTTATTCTGATTATGTGTTAAAAGTCTTTCTGACCAGTGAAGAGTCATTTTTTCTAACAAAAATAAGGCAAGAATAAAATTTTAAAACGGTATGTAATATAAAATTTAACTATGACTAGGTGATTCGCAACTTACATAAGGTGATTCGCAACTTATTTCTGTCTTCTACTGAAGTTTTCAAGCTAAAGGTTTGTTATGAGCACCCATTTTAAAGTAATAGGAGAACGCGTTAGGTTTCAACGTGTCAGTTTTACATTTTTATTTATTTTTTTTTTTTATCAAATTAAAAGGTTTAAAAAGTAACATTTTATTAAAACTCCTGAAAAAAAATTTTAGCCATATGATCAACGATGTCGATCCCTCTACCCTTAAATTACTTATATTTATATTTAGATATATAAATGTCACGCGATATATAGACCTGATTTGAAGCTTGACTCCCCCCCATCCCCTTTCAAATCAACTGATTTCTGGCATGCCCCTTACTAGAAAAATAGTTAAGTGATTAGTAGGTAAGAAATATAGTTAATCTTTCAAATTATTTAATTATTTATAGGAAAATTTATATCTAGCACCCCTGTAAAATATTTAAATCTAACCTCAGAATGTGATTTATATAATACTTACGTGAAGTAAAAAAATTGCTGAATAATTCTAAACTCTGAAGTAGACTATAGTCAACTTTCTCTATAATTACTCCTATTATATTCACATTCTACTATATAGTCATACCAGTTGAATGTTCAAAACACTTTATTATTAAAATCTATCCTATATAGTCACAATTTATCTATAGTCACTATCACATCTAAAGTTCTGAACTAAACCGTTCAGAGCTTTAATTACATCTAAAGTTCTGAACCAAACCATTTAGAGCTTTAATCACACCTATCCTCAAAAATCTTATATTAAAAAGAACCATTTATAATTACAGTTATATAAAGAATATATTAAATAACTTGGCATCTAATAATAATCATACGAAAATGTATCATAGCTTATTAGAATCGTCTTACTGAAACAAATTGAATGGTAGTAGTTTTATCTTTTTATGATTACTGGCTAATAAATTATTCAACAAAATATTAAAAATCAGCATTATAATATTTCTTGATTTATGTTTACTGTGCTATTTAACATTTTTGCTAAATTGCTCAGTACCTAGTGATTATAAAAGAATGAATAATAGTTCATTGGAATTGCCTTATTAAGACGAATTGAATGGTAATAAGTTCATCTTTCTGTTATCAATATTGATGGAGTTACTACTTAAAAACTATTTAATATTTTTTAATTTTAGAAATTAATCTAGTGATTAGATTTTGATGCATTTTATACCATTAGATTCATTTCATCAATACGAATTGAATGGTAGTAAGATCGTCTCTCTAGGATTAATATTGGCAGAGTTATTATACAAAAACCATTAAAATTTTTTAATTTCAGAAATTAAACTAGTGATTGCATTTTAATGTATCTTATATAATTAGAATCATCTCATCAAGATGAATCAAATGGCGGTAAGATCATCCCTCTATGATTAATATTGGCGAAGTTATAATACAATAAAATTTTAAGTATAATTTTGGCCAAAATTATATTAATTTTTGCCTAAAATTATAATATATATTATATAAGAAATTTTTTATATAGTCACATCTCTTTATAATCACCAAATATGGACTGTTCTAAATATATGATTATAAAGAGAATTAACTGTATTTTTTAAAAAAAAATAAAGTTATTCTTTTAAAACAGTTCATATTTTATGAATATTTAACAATTTTTATTGATTTATAAGTAATCACGTTACATTTGTAAAAAAATTACCTACATGTACGGCTACATTATTTTAAATTGAAAAAAAAATGCCAAACATATCACATAACATAAATTTATAACTAAAATCATTTCTCTTATTTCTTAGGCTTATTGTTTATTACTCACATTTTTATGAAAAGCGGCATTATGTCTATTCCATTGTAAATATAACATTTATAAAAGCCTCTAGTTTTGGGCTTTCCTTAAGCATCCTGTTCCTTTTTTACACTACTCAAATGCCTTTGTTTAGGCGACTGATCTTTAGTAATAACTTTATTCAGATTTTTTACATTTTAAAGGTTTGTATCTATAATTTTTCTGTCTTTTTCAGTTTCATCTTCCTCTATCTGACTACTACTCTTTATTCTAGAATTAGTATCATTATTCTTCAGTCAATAAAACTATTCAATAATCTATGAGAATTTTTCTTTAATAATAACAAGGTATTATTTAACATTAGCAACTCAGTTATTTAGTAACAATATACCTGCTCACAATTTAATTCTTCATTATTGAGCTTAATCATATTGAGAATAAAGTTTCATATAATCCAAAAATCAACAATTTTACTAATAATTCTTAAATTAATACAGTTAACTTTTGTTATAATGAACCTTAGGTTCTAGACCTCAACTTCGCTATAAGGCTATAGTGAAGATTTCAAGAGATTTGATTGGTTAATTCGTTATAGCAAGAGGAAATTTATTATAATTGTCTGAAAAATTCACTATATCAATTATCAAGGGTTTGCTATATCAAGATTTGACTGTAATAATTAACAAATTTTAGGCTATATGAAATTTAACAAATTCTCTATAAAATCCAGTCAAATTTTTTTGCTAATTAATTGTAGCTTTCATATATTAAAAATAAGTTATTTTGCAATAAAAAATTTTTTTATATTTATAATTTTTCTTCTTATTTATTTTAATATATAAGAATATAAAAACTATTTATGATCAACTTTCAATTTTAATTTAAAAAAAAGTGTATTACTAATAGTAAATTTTTTTTATTTTGTATTAGTATTTTTCAAAAATATCAAAATATTACTAATAATGAATATCACTACTGATGATTTTTATCAGTTTGATTTTTTAAATCTTATAAAATTAATATTAAATTAAATAATTGATTGTATATATTAAATAATTATTTTATATATAAATTTACAAGAAGAAGAGTTTTGTTTAAAATTAAAAAAGCTGGTTTTCAAATAATTTTTAATAAAATGCAAAATTTTTATTTTTTTATTTTTTTACTTTACTAAAAGTTTTTTTTTTTGACAAAAATTTCAAAATTTTATTATGATTAACAGATTAACATCAAATAATTATTAATATATTTATTATTTAAGTTAAAATTTTGCAATTAGTATTTTCTAACTCTGGCCAAAATTATAAATCAGCACTTTAAATTCTAGCCAAATTGTTGAAATTAAGTGGTAATAATCACCATTAATGAAATTAGTAATGCCCATAATTTTTAATAAATAAAATATTTATTAATATACAATTTGAATAATTAATAAATTGAAAGATTTCTAATTATAGCTTATTTTTTTTTTATTATTGCATTTTGATTAATTGCAATTAGTATAAATTGGCATTCTATTATATGGAAGGTCATTGATATTTGATTGATTGTCAATTTGTTAAATTTAATTATTTAAATATCTAGTATCTTATCTAGTATCTTTTTGATCAAATATTCTGGCCTAACTCTTACTTTTACACTTCTTTTAATCAATACTTTAGAAATGTTTATTAATTCCAATCTGCATAAATCAATATAAATTTATTCTTTCAAAGTACTGTACATAAAGTTCAATAAAGCTTAAAATAAGCACAAAAATAAACTAAACTAATATGTTAAAAATAATATACAAGAAAAATTATGTATATATATAATGATAATGAAATTGAGGAGAAAAAGAAACTCTTCATGATAATTTTCTCATGTTAAACTTCAGTCCTATAATAAAAAAAAATTCAATTAATTTAAATTTTAATATTAATAATAATATTTATTAATGCTATATAATAAGTCTTAATAATCACCATTCTAATCTTCTTTTTGGTTTATTAACAACAGGTTCAGTGGGTTCAGTTGTTACCGGATCCGCAAAAGGGTCTGCAAAAGGGTCCGTATATGTTGAATTACTATCATAATTATCGGATGTATTTGAATTTGTTCTAAAGTCAAAAATAAGAAATATAAATAAAATGTAAAAATTTGTGTTCAGTCAAACATAAATAGAAATTATTTCTAATTACTTTGAAGAAAAGGCATCAAAATCAATTAGATCTCCGAAATCTTTATGAATCTATATTGGAGGGAAAATATTTTATTAATTAAACTTTCATCCACAACTAAATTAATGATAGTATATATTTCCTTAACTAAATTTAAAATACCTTTGCAGCCTCTTCAGCTTGATTTTTCTTTTTATTTAAACCAAGCCCAGATATATCATCATCGATTTCTTTTTGCTTTTGTAATTTAATGTTTTTAATACCAGAAGTAACATTATTTACTTCATTATCGCTACTATTAAATTCTGAATATAAAGCTAAAGCATCTGTAACTTGATCATTTGATTGTAAAAGTGGTCCTATAACCAAAAAAATTGTTAAAATGCATTATATTTACAATTCTATATATAGATATTTTAAAAAAATCTTAAGTATAAATGTTACCAATTCGACTTTTATCTGTTACTGCCGTAGGAATCATTTTCATTAATATTTCAGATGATGATTTGCATTTATGGACTAATTCCTAAAAGATGATAACATTGTAATTTATATATTAATTTAATAAAAAAAGAGAAGGAATGTTATCATAATCAACTTACTTGTAACTCTGTATCTTTTGTTAAATCAGAACCAGGACTTAATAAAGTAAGCGCGTTAACAAGATTTGTAGCATTTTGTGTTGCCAACCCTATAGTTTCGTTAATCTAAAAAAAAAAAGAATTTATTTTTAAAAAATTAATTATATAACATACATAAATAGATATAAAACAAAGTAATATTCACTTTTTCTGGAGAATAAGTCACAGGTCGCGTTTCAGATTGTTGTCCCTTTTTAGATCGTACACCAGATGTTCCACTTTTACTTTTTTCTTTGTCTTTTTCTTTATTAGTAACACTGGAAGATGATGATGAATTTGACGAAGATGTTGATTTTGATCCTGGCCCTTTTGTACTAGCTGCAAGCCCAACATTACTAATGCTAGTTCTATGTGTTGTTCCGTTATGTAAGTTTGCTAATGTTTCATATCCTGGTTTATTCTTGAATTCTGTTGACCATTCTGCAAACAACAATAATAATCTTTTATGGACTCTAGGATCAGTATACTATATAAATATAAAAGTATATTATAATAATATGTAATAAATTAATTCATTGGAGAATAAGGAAGGAATATAGAATAAGTACCGGAGATATTGCCATATTTCTAAGCCTTTCAGTAAATTTATAAGTAGCAATTTGAGCTAAATTAAAATTAAAATTTTAATTATTAAATTTAATAGTAATATTTGATCAACGAATTTTCTTTAAAAATCATATAACGAACCAACGAATTTATCACCACAATTTTCCGTTAAGGATTTTAAAATCTATAAAAGAATTCATATTAAACATAAAAATTTTAAACGTATTAATTAAATATACTCTTACCGTTATTGCTCGAATTTGTGAATGAATATTTCCATATTTCAAAGCATGTTTTAATGCTTTACTAGCTTCTTTTGGTCTAAATCATTCATTGATTTAAAAAAAAACTTTATACATAAAAAATAGAGTAAATGATAATCAATCGTACCCTGTTGCCTGTATATTAATAACTTCACATAATTCAAATATATCAGCAAAATCGTCTTCCTTATATTTTTCCGATGTCATGCGTTCTACAGTAAACAAGATAATTTAAATTGGATTGACTAAATTTAAATATTAATATATACATTAAAATCTTACCAATCCATTCTGTCACTGCTGTTCTTGTAGCTGTTTTAAATACTCCCATTATTCGATAATTTGAATATATTTAATTAATGGAGCTGAGAAAAAAAAATTTAACAAATGCTCAAATTTATTTGTTTTCCATAATGAAGTTTACGATATTGATTAGTAGTTTACAAATTAATAAATGAAATACAACTTACAAAATATAAATCAAATTTTTCAAAAATGAAAATTTATTTTTTTAACAACATATATACATATATAAAGTTGAATAATGGAAGTATTTTTTTAAAAAAAAAGAGAGCGAACAAAGATGACAGATAAACTACTATAGAAAAAAAGCTGACCAGTTTTTCGATCGGTTTTCTTTGCTATAATATAACGGTAGGTTACTTGATCACGCGCTGATCACTTAGGAATTAATCACGTGATAACTGATATTAAAATATTCTTCCCAGCGTCGTCCGACCTGCATAAAATGTCACCCCGCGTCACACCCCACCGTTTTCATTTTTTTCATAAGTATTCTGGGAACAGAAAATTTTTAGTGGTGAAAAAAATTATTTTCACACCCATTAAACATCACTGGTCACGTGGAGGTAGAATTTTACTGGGGTAAATTATTAAAATATATATCCCTATTAATCAATTTTAAATGACGTAACATAAGACTTCAAGGCAAAAATTACCTTTTTACCCTGCTTCACCTAGTATCCTACAGACCTTCTTGCTGTAAAATATTTATTTATATTATGCAGAGGGGGTGATGATATAATTACACAGGTCAAAAAGGTAATTTTTGTGATCTTGAGCTATACACTACATAAAAAGGTATTGACCAAAATAATTATATAGATCTTTTTTTTTATAGATAATTCCAGCCAGAATTTATTTCTTTTTAGAAGTTGACTGGCATTATCATAATTCTAGTTCTAAAAAAATATGTAGAGCTAATAGTAATTTTTTTTTGGCTGCACCTTATCTTTATATATATAACTCAGGGTTCTCATAATATGGCAAATACAAAAATATAATAAAAATTGTAAAATTATATCTCTAGATACATTAAATAACCAAACTAACTTTTTACATTCTTATTACTATATTATAATTATTATTATTTTATTTTTAGTAATCATATTTATAATTCTAACATTTTTAATATATCCAATAATCCAATTGAACATTTATATAAACTAAATTACCAGCTATAATTATTACAAATAATATATTTTTTGAAGTAAAAAATCTTTTAACCATATAAAATAAATAGCAATTGCTTATTAATAATATTGATATATAATTAAATAATAAAATAATACTTCTATTATTTTATTTTTATATAATTAGAACTATAAAAAGTATTATTAATTTTATATGTTATATTTAATTTTATAAATATTTATTATATTATAGTAGAGTTTAAAATGAAATTAAAAATTAAATAATATTCAAAATATAATAATCATGTATTCTTCTGAAGAAATTTTCCTAATTCTTCGGAATTCTACACAATCTGAAGAAAAAATATTTTACCCCTGAGAATCACCATTTTTGGATTGAATCCATGACTTACTAATAACTAATAAACACTATCATTTTTCAAAATTGAATAAATTTTTTGCATTAAACCTTTTGTTAGTTATTAAATTTATTATTTTATATCCTGCATAAAAAGGAACTACAAGAAAAAACTGTGAAATTCGGAACTAGAATTTCCAAAATTCGAAACTCTTTCAGTTCCACACGATACAAATTTGTTAACATGTTATAGAATATTGTCATTTCGTTATTATGACGGAATTGTGAGAATTTTTGTAAGAAATGGGTTGAAAATTTGTCATTTTAACGTGTTATAAATGCTAAAAAAGGGACATTTTTCAGTTATTAGCTATTAGGAATTTTGTAAAATAGAACTTTAAAAGAAAATCAGATAAATCTTTAATGTTAGATTTATCGTTGTTTTATTTTTTATACTATATACTGAAATCTGATAGATTTATTATAATGCAGGTTACTTAGTTTTCTACATATGCATCACGAACTTAATCCAAAAATGGTGATTCTCAGGGGTAAAAATTTTTTCTTCGGATTGTGTAGAATTCTGAAGAATTAGGAAAATTTCTTTGGAAGAATACATGATTATCAAAATATAATTAAATATAGATTTAAAGTAATAATTAATTATATTAAATATTAAATATAATAATTATAAATAACTTATTGAGTCAAATAAATTACTTGATAGTGTATATATAGAGTACAATTTAATATGATAAGTGGGTTGTAATTTAATTATATTAGAGTAGTATATATAATTATTTACTTTTCATATTTTCTATTTAATTTTATTTTAATAAAATCACAAATGTGATGCAAAAGTAAAAAAAAAAAATTATAAATAATTGCAATAATATAATATAATAATAATACAATAATTATATAATAGAAATGATTAATAATAAAATGAAAAAATATTACAATAGTTATATAATTAATATATGGGGTCTTTGCAATAGAAAGGTACGAAACTCAAAAAAACATCAAAAATTGAATTAATATTAAATTTGCATTTATTTCAATAAAAAAAACATAATTAGCATATAAAGTAAAATTAAATTTTTTTTTTGAGTTTTGTACCATTTTATTTGTTAAAAATAAGGAATAATAAGAAAAACTTGAAATTTGTCAAATATTAAATAATTTAAAATTTCAAATTAAGACAGAAAGTATTTTATATAATTTTTATCAAAAAAAAAAAACTTAAAAAAATATTAATTTAAATAAATTTTTAAATAAACTTAGAATTTATAAGAAAAATTCTCTTTTTTTTATTATATTTGTATTATAAATTCTTTATTATTTCAATAATTTTAATTATAAAACAAACTATTTTCTAATTTAAAAAACAATTTTAAAAAAAAAATTTTGTTAATAAAATAAATAGAAATTTAATATTAAAATATAATTGGATAAAAGGAAATTTACTAAAAATAATGAAAATTTTATTATTTTTTTTTAATTTAAAACAAATATATTATTCAAAAATAAATATTTTTTCTTTTTTTTTCCTATAATAAATAAAATTTTATTATTATTTCATATTAAAAAATAAGAAAAATTTGATAAATTTAATAATAACAAAAAATCTTATTGAGTAATTGATCTTATTAACTTAATAAAAGTTGTTTCTTTTGAAAAGTTACATCTAAAAATAAATTATTTATTATTAGTTAAAGGATTCTTATTAAAATTTTATTGAAGTAAAAATTTTTTATTAAAAAATCAATTTTTTTATGTTTATACAAAAACTATCTAAATAACTACTATTAAATTCTTAAAAAATCTTTTTCTCTTGCAAATTTATATATATTTTGCTATTAAAACTATTTATTTATCTAAACTTTTAAAAGGATTTCAAAAAAGTTTATTTTTTAATATAAATTTCTTATATATATAAAAAGAAACCAAATAAAAATATATTTTCATTCTTATTAAATATAAATAGTTATAATACATTATTTTATTAATAAAGTTTTGAAATACATCTTATTTACCAATTTTTTATGTATAAATAAAAGAATTTATAGTATTTACATCAGAAAAAATTGGCTGTGAAATTAAGTAAATATGATGAATATAAAAAAAAATCTTTGAAATATTATAGTTTCAGATTCTATCTGATATTAATATTATGTATAAAAGAAAAATTCAAGAAATCCTTATTATTAATTCTTTTTTTTTAAATGCAAGCTAAAACTGCTTATTATTAGTAATGAATTGCTTATTCAATACTTATATGATTGATAAATTTATTTTCTAATATTATAAAAAATTAATGAATAACTTTAATTTAATTCTAATTGATTTGATTATTAATTTTAAATAAATTATAACAATATAAATAAAATAAAAATAAAAGAAAAAAATCATTTATTTTATGTAAACTACATTATTCTATTTTATTAAGAATCTTTTATTTCATTATCAATTTTTTATTTTGTATTTTTTTATTCTTTTAAATCTTTAAGTTTTTGATTTTGTTTTTTTAACTCAATTATTTGTTGTTGAAGTACTTTAACTTCTTCATTTAGATCTTTTGGTTCTGGAATATCTAATAAATTTCTTAATCTTTTACTGATATATATAGGATGATAAATGAAATAAGTTTTTTTATTATCAATTGCATGAATTAATTCACGAATATCTTTAACAGGAATATCATAATAACTAAAATGATTAATAAATAAATATAATTAGAAAATATATAAAAATCAAAAATAAAAGTTTAACATTAACAAATTTTATACTTACATCCAATATGGATTCCATTTTTTTTTTAGACAAGCTGGCAAATAATATAATTCAATTTCCCTAATAATCTTTTAAAAATAATTGATAAAGTTTATGATTAGAATTATATAAAATATAATAAATCAAATAATATAGATACAATAATTTATAATAAAATAAAATACCATTGCTTTTAGAAGAAAAAATTCTTCATATTTATTGTATTCATTAATTGCTAGATTAAGCAATCCAATAAATAAGTTCATAAGATAAATTATAAGAAATGTAAATAAAACTAATAAAATTGTTACTAGAGTAGAATCATAATAAGTGTCTGCCGAAAAAGCTTCAGGATTGCCTATTGTTTAAAAAAAAAAAAATTAAAAAATAATTGGAATGATAATTGAATAATAAATTATTTACATACCTATAAGCAGTAAATACACCGATAAAAGTGACCTAATAAAACCATCAAACAGATTTTTTTTTGAATTAGGGTCTTCAATAAATGTAACATTCTGATATATAGTACCATTTAAAAAAACATGATATACGGTGGTTTTATTCCATGGACTATCTATATTATTAGGTTTATAATCACTAGGATCAAAAATACTAGATGGAATAGATGGAATTGCATTATCGTCTGCTTGTAAAATAAAAAATGCATGGGCAAATCCAAATAAAAGAAAAAATAAGACTATTAAGAATGGAAAAGCTTTTTTAGGAACTCCGATAATTATGGCAAAATAAGTTCCACATAATTGAAATACTCGAAAAAATATCAAAAATTTAAAACTTAATAATAAATTAGAAATTGCTCTAAGTCCTTTGGTCGTTTCATAATTAGTGGTTGTAGCAAGATCTATACGATATAGTATATCCCCATATTTAATAATAATCCAATATATAGATGTGATAATAGGTAGAGAATATGCTCCTATATCTATTAATAATAAAAAGAATTAGAAAAAAAGAAATCCAAGTAAATAAATATTAAAGCATGTGCATCTTACCCAAATAATTCCATGGGTCATAAAAATAATTTCTTGGATCTGGTAAACATTGTCGAATTTCAAAAATTAAATGTATAAGACCAAGTATAATTGAAATTATAAAAAAAATATCTTCGTTGTCTAATGCATTATTACTGTAATCGTATTTTAATGTAGAAGCCAATGCAAAAAAAAGAAAAAACATAGCATAAAAAACCCAAATTATTAAATAATATTTTTTCCCAAAATTCCTCCATTTAAAATCTATAATGGCTGCAAAATTCCACCATCTGTAAAAATTATCGGTATCTATATTACTAAATAGAAAAGATCTATCTTCATTTAAAAATTTGTTCCAAAAGCTTTTTTTATCTTTATCATCACAAAATTCGGAAAAAGGAATGATAAGCCTAATTGCTGGAGTTTTTTCTTGTTTAATTGGTTTAATTATATCTTTCACCAAACTTGTAATAAAAGACGATTTTTTAATATAAACCTCTCTTGAATATGCCTTATAAGGTGAAGTTGAATTTATAATAGATAAACAAGTGGGATCTAGTATGAGAGATTTACATGAAATATACTTCATTATTAAATTAGAATAAAAATGATTACTTAAATCAAATAAATTTAAATTAATAAAAGGAAACATGTAATTGGGATTTTCTGAATCATCTTCAATTAATTTAATAACTTTATCAAAAATTGATTTAACGGCAAATTCAATAAAACTTTCATCAATTTTTTCATCAATAATCTTTGATAACATTTCTAAATAAAATCTTGAAAATTCCACCGGATTATTTATAATACTAAGAAAGTATCTTTCATATTTTTCACATTCTACATTCTTGTACTTCTGGTATTTCACAATATTCTTAAATAAGTGACTAAAATCTGGCGGCGGTAATGATGAACATTCCTCAATATCTTTAATACCTTTATTACATCGACAGTATCGAAGTCCTAAATCTTCATTTTCGTAAATTGTGTAAATTAAGATTTCACTCTTAGTAATTAAAGCCAGATCCTGATTATTTAATTGTTTGTACGAAATTACATCATTGCAACTATATTTTAGTACTGTTTTCCTTCCGTCATTTTCGTCATTTTCGTTACTTTCGTCATTCTGTGATTTTTTAGATCCTTTAATTATATAATCTTTAGAATTATTTTCAATTACAAACTTTAGAAGTTTACCCTCTAGGTTATCTTCTTTTATTTCATTTTTAAGCATATCTTTTATGTCGTTGAAAATAGGTAAAGTATAAATATTACTATGATATGTCTTGTTTAACTCTTTGTTTAATATTGTCTGATCTTTCAACTTATCTGTGATCCAATTATTCTTTTCCAACTTTTTATTAAATTTTATATCAAAATTTTGGTTGTTGTTAATGTTAATATTATTAATACCATTACCGTTGTTTATATATTGGGTAATATCAATTGCATCATCATCAGAAGTTTGAAAGGGATCTAAAAGTATGTATTTTTTATCTTTATCATCAATATTATAAATAATTAATCCTTCAGAATCATCTTTTAAAGTTACAAATTCCATTGGAATATAATCTTTTTTATTTTCTACATATTTAGAAATCCACATTCCATTTTCCATCCCATTTTCCATTGCATTTTCCTCGTTTTTCATTGAAAATATATTAACTTTACCACAAATATTTAATGCAATTAATGTTTGACTTTTATTTATTACTATATTAACACTACGTTTATCTTTATCTGCATAGTAATTACGCAACTTATCATCAAATAAGAAGTATTGATTTTCACATGTACATTTCGTACATGTCATCATCTTCAATAAATCATATTGAGTCATTAATTGGAATCCATTAAAAAGAAATAACTTTGTTTGATATACAAAACAATGAACGAAATCATCTTCATTTACATTTTCTATATCATATTGTTGAAAACACTTCCAAATACCATTTGCTGTTTCTGGCTTATCTTCAAAAGAATACAAATAAATTTTGTGATTTTTTGCTTTTTTTGCTTCTTCATTTAATGATACTACAACCAAATGAATAGGGCCACTAGAACCATTAGAAAGAAATCCAATCGAATTCTTTTTAATAGAAAATATATTTTCATGCTCTAGATTCCTTAGTCGAAACAGATATTTGACATTATTTAAATCAATGCTTAAATCAATGAGACCTATAATATAAGTTATTAATTAGTTAATATTTTATTATTTAAATCAATAAAATCTTATTTAAACTTACAATACTCATCGTTTTTCTCGTAATAGCATAATAAATAATTTTTATATAGTTTAAGTAATTCAACATTTTTCTGGTTAACGTAATGCGCACTGTATTTGGATTGTCTGTTATCATTCTCATTAACTAACCATCCAAGAATTGATTTATCTTCGCTACTATAAATAACAAAATAGTCTATATTATCAATATTATCATCAACTTTTATTGATGAATGAGACATGTCGTATAGACGAAATTTTTTATTCAACGAAATTTAAAAGACTTTTTTTTTTAAAAGCGCCTTTTTATTTAATATTACTAAAACGTCAACTACATTTAATGATAAGCGTATCAAAACTCGTTTTAACTTCATTTAAAATTGACATTTTAAGATATGTTCACATGCTCTGAGTTCCATTACTATATAGGGAATGCGCCCGAGTTCAAGCATAATTAGAAGATAAAAATCAACCACAATAAAAATCACTGCATCAAATTGTAGTTACCAAAAATAATAACTGTAGATTATCAATGATGATCCGACATGCATCGAGAATTAACATTACATTAGGGTGTACCATCAAATAATTAAATCAAAACATATGTAAAGTATCATATAAAAAATTATTATCAGAGATTTTTCTGACAATTCTGCCGGTTAATGGGTCAAACGGAATTTTTGTCGGATATTTTAAAATGGCATTATTATTAAATGCCATTATTATTATTAATTATTATTATGATTTAAAATTATTATTTCATTATTATTATAAATACAAATATCATACATAGTTTATAAATAAAATACAACGAAATTATTTTTTTTTAGAAAAATACTAGTCAAATAATAGATCTGCTGCATCAAATTGTCCTAAAATTACATTTGTAATCTAAGTCGTGCAATGGACCTTTTTAATACTAGACTTGTCAATATTTTCAAATAAATTTGAGCCAACAAAAAAACCTTAGTTTGATTGTTGTAATTTCTTGATTCATATTTGGAAGGCATTTTTCCCGTGAAAAAATCAGAAATCTTGGAAACTCGATAAATCATGTATTATTAGTTTTTATGCAATACTAAAAGACTAAAAAAATACACGATAGCTTAAAGAATAACGAAATACCTCGATTTTTTTAAAAAACAAGTAAAGAAAAAATGTTTTATTATTAAGGATTAACTAAGAAAGCTGGTTCTAAACGCGGATGGCCTTCTTTGAAAAAAATAAAGATATTACACGAAAAAGACAGCTATTTTGGATATTCTTGCAGAATTTGAAACGTAAATAGTGGGAATGAGTTAGAATTATGGAAGTGTGAAATTTTGTCTATTTTAATATGAAGTTTCTTATAAAGTTTATGAATTATAATGATCGTCAAAAAAATCTCTGATAGTAATTTTTTATATGGTACTTTACATATGGTACACCCTAATATTACATTAATGTTACAGAAGTGTTACAGATCGTGCTTTACGTACTTACGTTATTACAACGGTCATTTTGGGGTTAGCGCGTGCGACGAAAAAAGGGTTTGGAAGCAAAAGAACATTAGTTTAGCGAAAATAGAAAGATCACGTAATTATTTAACATGTAATTTTAAACTATAAAAATATTCTTAAAAGAAAACAAATTACTTTTATTTCGTAAATAAATTTAAAAGGTTGTTTCTTTTCTCTTTATTTAATTGATCCTGTTGGCTAAAGATACAATTATTTGGAAAATATAAATTAAAATCTTATTAAAAATTAATTTGAATATTAAAACGATTAAACATGATGATAGTACGATAATTGGTATTATAGCTGGTTTGATATGAAATATAATATATGTAGCATAAATAATAAGTTGAGGTATTTCTCCAAATAATATTATAGCAATATTCGCAATCAGAACCGATTTTTTTTTTTTTTTAATTAAATCTGGCGATTTGTCTCGTAACGCATTCATATCAACTAGTATTCCAAAAAGAATAAAAATTTTCATGTTTACTTTTTCTTCTTTTTTTACTTTTCTGTTTACTCTAACCATAATAATTATAAATATTAAATGGATAAGTAGTGGAAGTATTAAAAAGATCATACTATAAAAAAAAAAGAAAAATCATCATGTTAAAAAAAAAAAGTTGTTTTTAAGTTGATGCAATAATAATTCAAGTATTTTAACAACTTAAATGTTTTCTTACGTTGCAGGTAAAATCCATACAAAATCTCCTTTATGAAAGATTATAAATGCAATATCTAACGCTAAGTCAATTAGAATCAATCCAGATAAGAAAATTGGGAAAAAGTCCCTAAAGTCTCTTTTGATAATAAGCAACAACCCAATAACAAATAAAATACAAGCCGCGGGAAGAAGGCCCCAATATTTTTTCCAAAGTTTTTCGGTTATAGGAGCTCCATATGATGCATCGAGAAACCAATTCAATTCTGATAATGAATTCATGTCTTGATATGTAATTGTTTCATTTAAATCTTTTGCAAGTTGTTCTGAACTAGATTGTCCATTTTTGGAAATATCAACTCTGAATATAATCTGATATCGATATACTTCATGCGCATTATTAAATAAATATGAATTTTCATCTTTTTTTAAATACATATGTTTATCATAAGTATAATAAGTGATAAATGAGCATGATCCTTTACATGAAGTTGCATCATGTTGATAATATTTGGTGATGTTTAAACATAGTCCATCACATGATATTGCTCTACTTAATATAGTTCCCAATACATTTACACTATTTTTTGTTGTGTCCTGATATCTTATATAACCTAACGATCCTTCAAGTGTTAATCGGATAATTGTACTTACTGTTCCTATTGAAAAAAAGTAAAAAAGTAAAATGTTTAATATATTGAAAATGAAAAAAATACTTTATTTTGTAATGTAAAGTCAAATTTACCCCCTGTTTCAACATCAGTTGAAGAAGATAAATCTAAAAAAAATTTTTTTTTTTTTATTATTAGTATTATGACACGCAATTATATATCGAGTATGAATGCTGATTACCTGTAGTAAAATTCCAAATGTTTTCTCTAATACCAATAACATTTTGACCACTTTGTTCTTTTACAAAATCATGATCAACAGTAATGTAATAACGAGCACTAAATTTATTTAGGGCAGAGGGTAAGATCGTCAATTTAACAGTATTTTCGTTTTCAAATTCAACAAATTGTTTATTTGTTGCGGGAATAGTTTGTTTTAAAATAATATCATCTCCATTAACTTGGAAAACACTAAAACTTCCTGTTGATCTAATTACAGGTGTATTATATGTAATGGTAAATTCTTGATTTGTTGTAATTATAGAATTTTTTAATGGAGTTGTGGATAATATTTTCGAACATCCATATCCTCCTGGTCCTCCTGGCACCGTTCCATCTCCTCCTACAACTAAAGAAAAAAAGTTAAAAAATATATACATTTATTTATTTCAGTTGTCTAAATTTTACCTGTAGAAAAATTTGTAAATTGATCAGTTGATATAATGGGAATTTTTTGTCTGTTAATCTCATCAAAAATTGAAGCAGCTTTTGGAATAGCAACAATAGTGTTATTGGGAAGTACATGACTAGTGTAAAAGAATTCCCAAGGAGCCTGATGCCAATCCCAATCTCCATGAATTACTCCTTCATTATCAATAGTAAAGGCACTTCCATTTCCATTAATTCTATTCATTGTTGTAATAAAATACCCACCAAAATTTAACGGCAAAACGTCAGTAATAACGTCATTATTCGATAGATTTAAATTTAAAACAATTACTTTTACGATAACCTCGTCATAACTTAAAAAGAAATCAATTTCATTATATATTACTTGATTTCCATTAGTTGTTTGAATAATACAACTATAACCTGATGATTGATATGCTATATTACATACGTATATACGTAATCTAGTTACTGTGTTATTCCAATAAATCCTAAAAGGACCTTTCATTTCACCTGTAGAATCTTTTTGTATAAATCTAGCAAATATTGTTGTTCCATTATTTATATTTATATCACTTGTTATTATACAATATCCACCATCTTCTATTGCGAATACGTTTGTAAGATACGAGTTAAATGTGTATATAGAAACCGGGGGGTATATTTGTCCTTCTCCTATTTTTTCTCTAATAAATAAGTTGTTAAAATTTTATGAACAAAAATAAAAAAAAAACTGTATATATAATTTTAACTTACAAACTACTATCAAATTTATAAGTTCTCCAAAAAATTTTTTCATTCTTAGATTTATAACATACATATATAAGTCCTTTACTATAAATATTTTTAACAATTTTACCATTTTCGCATGATTCCTCGAATGTACTAAAAAATACAAATTTCAAAATCAAGAAGTAATCCAAAATAAAGCGTTGATATATACATATATATTTATTTTTACGTACCGTTTACTCAAATTGTTGAGAAATTTCATCTTTTTATTTGTTTCCACTCCGATTAAACTAAAACAAGTGTCACCATTTAATAAAAGGTTACAATAATATGATGTAATAATAATATTATTCGAATTGGTATGAAAATTTATTTTATCCTTAATTAATCTGCATTCTGGTGCATTAGGATTACTATCGCAATATCCAAATTGACATCTCCATATCTTTTGTGAATTTGGTTCGCCGCATACATTACACCCTGAAGCATTTGGATTATAAATACAATCATTACATCCAGGTAAATACGGTTTATTAGAACAATTTGGTACACATGCTAAAGCGCCTGGATATTTCACACAATCCAACGGACATCCAGGTGTTCCAGATGTTTCAGTACAATTCGGTAAACAATTGGGAGCTGTTGGATATTTCGCGCAGTCCAATGCCGCACCATTACACCCAGGAACAACAGGTTTTTTACCCGCTCCGTCAGTTCCGTCGCATATTGGAATTACTTCACATTCCAAGTGTTTTGGATTTTTGTCACAATTAACATTACATCCAAATCCATAAGGATTGACATTACATGAACTTTCCATCGGAGGAATAGTATTCATTCCAATAGTTGAATTAAAACAAAAATTTTCCGCAGGAATATAATGGGTTACAGTATTTATTGGTGACCGATCATTAGTAGGAATTATAATAAAAGATAAATTTTGCACCTTACAATTTTCAGTTTCAAGTTTGGTTAAACTTAATAAGATAGATCCATTTTTAAAACTAGTGCTTTGAATTATTTTAAGATCAGTTTCAATTTGAAGAGTAAACTGTTCAGCCAAGGCCAATCGGGACAAGACAATTGTAATGAAACAAATATAAAATAATATCATCGTAGGTCTCATATTATTAAAGTCTAAAAAGATTATTATTGTATTTGGAAGTAGTGGATAAGAAAGAGTCCAATGGATGGATACTTTTTTAACTCTAATAAGAATTACATTGTATAAAATGGTGAAATTTACAAGTCGTGTTACATTGTATTCACAGTAATCATTATGCATTTTTTTTTACTTTTTATTACGTATACAAATTTACAATTATAATATTGTGTGTTAACCTATCGGAGAAAATTCACGTGATCACGATTTTTAACGTATAACGGTATTCAAATTTGGTATTTCATTTAAATTTCTTATTTTGCTATTAAAAAATAGAGTTTATGTATCATGTGCATATTTTTTTTGTAGTCAATTTCAACTTATTATAACTACCTCATTGAGGTTAATTAAATGAACCAAGATTATCTAGCCCCTCCTAAAGATGATCAAACAATATTTTTTAAATATTCATTACAACGAAATAAATAAATAATCATTCTGTATATACTAATACTAGTACAATAAACTGTTTATTTAAATTTCTCTCATGTGAACAGACACAATATTGTCAAAATTTTTATAAATATAAAAATTTTTATGTTGCTTATTACATTCATTATTTCAAATTTAGCTTCAAAGTACCCTGCCGTCTTTATGTTCAACTACAATGAAAAAAAATTGATGAGCTTTGATCCTTCTAAAACGGGAGATGATCATGTCGAGTTTTTCTTTTTAATCTAATACCATTATAATAGCAAGTTTGCGTAACGACTACGGATAGTGGCTACTTTAATAGATTTTGGTATGAAGCGCCTAATGCAAGATGAAATTGACGAGATGAATAATACAATATTATCACAAATAATAGCAAGAAATATACCAGATTATCTCCTTAATTATAACTACTTTTTTTTGTATTTTTTTTTTCTTTTATTTTATTTCCTATTATGCCACTTCTTTTTAAATGCGTTTCGCAAATCGTTTGATTATTAGTCTCGGAATTTGACTTTCGAACTCTATACTTGTTTTGAAATATATACAGTATACTGATTATAACAATCAACAGATTATTAGAAACATTTTACATTAAATAAAGAATATCGAATCAAATTTGCTTAACAAATATTTATATATTAAAATATTATATATAAAATACCTTTCCCTATTATGCATTAAATTTTAATTTTCAAGCCCTTTTCTAATTATATTTCCTTATTATTATGTTTAATGTTTTTCATCTTTAAATAACGAAAGAAATGATTCTGAATAAATCGAAATTCTACAATTGTTGAACTGTAAAACGCGACAGAAAAAATAGTTTGTGCATCGTGTTACAGTATAATAGTACAAATCAAAACATCTTGAATGTACTATACAATATATTCCTATTACAAATATATTTTATTAATTTATTATTACAAATTCTTTGTAGAAGAGATAGGTCATTGTATAAATTAATTCATTTTTCATATTGATCATTTTCTCGTCAATTAACGGTAAAGGAATCTACTTGTACAAAAAATCATAATAAAAAAAAATTATACATAATAAAAATTTCCAAAAAAAATATTGCCTGATACCTGAAAAGAAGTATCACCCTGTAAAAAAATTTTTCCGTTTTTAGTTCCGTTTTACTCCGTTTGCGTTGATAAATAGGAGTTTCCATGTTTTTTCCGTAAAGGGCTCATATTCACGGAATTAATATGGAAACATCACTTTAATAAATAAAATGATATATATGTTTAAATCGTTCAATCAACAAACTGATAACAAACTGATAAATAATTGAGAATTCATCAATTAATAAAATGGATAAGTTTTTGGATAAGTCACTAAAAGATTACTGAATGTTTAAATTAATAAAATGGATAAAATACTTAAAATTTATTATGATAAAATGGATAAAGCAATTAAAATTTATTGAATAATAAAATGGATAAAATTCGGATGGAAAACTGAAAATTTATCATAATATTTAAATGGATAAAATTCGGATAAAATGCTGAAAATATACTAAATAATTAAACACTGTAACTTTAGTATACAATTACTGATAAATTTTAATTAAGCAACAGGTACACTATATAACTCCAACTGTTTAGATTTCTTGCTGGATCTTGTTCTACGTGAAGTTTCTATTGGTTTCTATTGGGAAGTTTCTTTTATTCCCTTTTACCTTTCCTTTTTTTACCTGTAAATTAATCAAATAATGTATAAGTATAATAAAATTTATTGAGAAAATAATATATTTTGCCAAAATACCAGGAGTTTCTACAGCAATTTCAGTTGCAGCTGGAGTATTAACTTCGGAAGTAGTAGATGATAAATTTACTATATTGTTTGTAACTGGAGTATTTAATTCAATGTTAGAGAGTGGTAAACCTGCTGTTTCAGTTACAATAGGAGCATTAGCTTGTGAAGTCACTGTTTTGGTTGTAAGTGGAGCATAAATAATAGATGGTGAAGTTATTTCTACTGTCAACTTAAAATTATGAGATGTTATAGATATTATGGAAAAAAATTACCTGAAGTACTTCCAGAATCTTGTAAATTGTCAGTTATTTCATTACTCATACTACTATTTATATATACTTCTTGGGAGGTCAGACATTTTTCTTTTTAGGTGATGGCAGTGGAAGGCCATGTTTCTTTGTTTCAATAATTTTCTTTTTTTTTTCTTGGTCAACTGTAAAATTCTTTTAAAAATAAAAATAAAAATAAAAATTTATGCTTAATTTAGCAAATTAAGTACTGTTACAATATAAAGCAACCCATTCTCTAAGGATGAAATCAGCCTCAGAAACTGGAAATGTTAGGTTTGCCTCTTTGAACTACAAAAAATATTAATTAATTTGCTTTCTGCAAATATAAATTTAATTATTAAGCACTTACATCTCTAATAACTTCTTTCACTTTCCTTTTTTGCTGGCAAGATATTGATTCACCATGTAAAGTCTTGAGACTAGTGTTGCCTGCCGTATTAGTTGTAATAGAGTTATAAGGTTATAATGTTTTGCCGTAAAGTTGTAACTTTTTGCCATAATTTTTCAACCAGTTGTAATTAGTGTAAAGTTCATAATTAGTATAATGTTTAAAATCGTTTAATGTTCAAAACAGATGTAATACAGTCAAACCTTGATATAGCGAACCCTTGATATAGTGAATTTTTTAGACAACTATAATAAATTTCTCCTTGTTATAACGAATTAACTAATTAAATCTCTTAAAATCTTCACTATAGCCCTATAGCGAAGTTGAGGTCTGGAACCTAGGGTTCGTTATAACAAGAGTTGACTGTAAAGTAAATTTAAGATATTATTTAATTATATCCAAATATTTTATGATGCATTGTTATAATATTATCATTATTATTTTAAAGTGCTATGTGTGAATTTGTAACAGAAAAATAGAATGGAAATATTTCAGAATATCGCAAGATAAGTATAACTAAAAAATGCTATTTGGTTAAAAAGGTATATCAGTTTAATCACTTTAATGTTATTATAATTGACATAACAATAATTAAGTAATAACAAATTATTTTAGTACAAATCAAATAATCCAGATTTTCCATTATCAATTGGTGATTGGGCTATTCAAATGATAATGCGTCATGCTATCAATCAACATATTCATGCTATTAATCAACAGCATATGTTGATTAAATATAATTTTTTAAAGTTTATTGCTTATTTATTTTATATTTTTAGATAAAGTAGAAAGAAAGGTCACAAAGGCAAAAATTATGTTCTTGACTTTTTTTGTATTACTTTCTTGATTTGGTCAAAATATATATGATTATGTGTGACAAAAATGTTCTTTTTTAATCTGCAAAGACATTAACACATTGTTATTTTTCTTATTTCTATATTTTTTCAAGAGTTATAAACACAAAGAGATTGATTAATCAAAAAAATAATATCCCTTAAACTGTAGGGGTTAAAATTAATTTAAAAAATTTTTGAATTATTAAAATAATATCTTAAGATTTAGTGATCATAGAAAGATGAAATTATATTTGTTAGATTTCTCTTATTAAAGCGCATTTAATGGTAATAAAATTATAACTCTAAAATTGATAAACAAAAAGTTATATTAATTTATAAATTTTTAGATTTTATAAGTTATCCTGTCACATACTGTAATATTTATAGAAGGACAATTTTATTTCTATCAGATTCTTCTTATTAAGACGTATCAAATGGTGGCAATTTTATATTTCTAGGGTTAATGGATAAAAAAATATTTCAATTTGAAAAATTTAGCTTCTATTATTTATTATAATTTGTCGATCATTTACTTTTAAAAAATCATTAATCAAATTGAACTATCTCTATATGAAAAGGTACAAAAGTTTTATTTGCATATATTTTCATAGAGCTTTTAGCATCATATGACAATTCTAATCATTCTTCATATCTCCTTAACTTTTTCCTAGCAAGATATAAAGCATATAGAAGTATGTGAAAATTCAGCTAATTTTTCTGCAAAAATTTTTAAGATATACCGTATATAGCGGGCCACAGTATCCCGGGTATCTTGCAAAAATCGGGGTTTGACCCTGTACCCCCAGATACTAAACAAAGCCTAAAAATTCCGTTTTTTGCGAATATCTCACGATCTACTGGTCCAATTTGAACGATCGTTTTTTTATTTTGAAGAGCTCAATGAGAGCTATCAACCAAAAAAAAGATGGCTCAAATCTGATCACTAGATCACGAGATAATTGTAAAATATCCCCCAGATACTATACAATTCTATGAAATTTTTCAAGGGGAGTACTATGCATAAGGGGGGTACTATGGCCTGTGATATACGGTATATTTTCAGAAGTTATATATGTATGAGAACAAAAATTTTTCACTATAGGGCTTATTACCAATAGATAACAAGAAGCAAGATATTTACCACCAATAATAGTGATATTGTAAACTTCAACTTTCATTGATATATTATATAAAAAATTTTTTATATAATCACATTTTTTTATAATCACTAAATATGGACTATTCCAAATGTGTGACTATAAAGAGAGTTGACTGTACTATAATTATATGCTATTAGTTTTATATTATAAGTCTTAATATCAGATATTGAATTTATAAATAAAAAGCTTGAAAATTGAAACACGTTTTACAAAAAAAAGTTTATCTAAACAAATAATGATTAGTTAATAAAATTTAATTAATCATGTGATAAGGGGTAGCGATGATATCACATGGGATCTTTGCAATAGAAAGATACAAAACTCAAAAAAATTTTAATTTTACTTTATATGCTAATTACAGTCAGCTCACTTTATAACGAATTTTAATGTAATGAATTTTTTAGTACAACGGATCTTCACTATGGTCCAGAATTTTACATATTAAAAGAATCTTGTTATACCGAATTTTACTAATTAAATACTATATAACGTATAATGAAGTAAATTATGTAAACTTCATATATAAAATAAGTCGCTTTGTAACGAATTTTTTTATACCGATTTTTTTTTAAATATTACGAAGATTTTTGCAATTTTTTTTATGGAGGGCTATTTTTTGCAAATTTTCTATAAAGGACAATTTAGCATTTATTTTACATTGAATCATGTTTCAAATATAGTAATACTGCACATTCTGTAATTTTATATAAAAATAATAATAAATAATGATTAAAATTCATGTTTTGCGTTTTTATTTTCTATATTTTTTTAAAAAATGCCAAAAATTAAACCTATTAACCTATTCAAAAAATAACTTTCTAATGAATCTTTAATTATTAACAAACGTAAGTCTCTTACTGCTGCACAAAAAAAAGAAGTTTGTTTAAAAAAAATATTCACGCCTTTCTTAAAATAAAAAGAACTAGCCAAAGAATATGAGATTAGTGAAGAGATGATTAGTAATATTTTAAAGGAAAAAGACCATTGGCTTGCAGTGAATCTTAGTTCATATCAAGCTGGTCTGCGACATGAAAGAAAACTTTCATTTATTAATATTGAAGAGGCTTTAACTCTTTAAGTAGAAAATGCACTCCAAGCTGGCCTTATTATTAGTGATGATATTCTTTCAACTAAAGCCTTAGAGTTTGCTTTTTTGTGCAATGAAGAAAAATTTAAAGGATTAAAAGGGTGGGTTGACAATTTTAAAAAACGGCATAACCTTAAACAATATAATGTACATGAAGAAGCAGCAAGTGCACCACTCCAAGATCTTGATATAATACGTGAAAACTTAGCATAGCGGACATCCCTATTTTATCACAATACTGTTGTCGATCATTTGCCGATCATTTATTCAATTATCACATAATATAAATACCGTTGCTAAAAAAATTTACATAATAATATATGCTTAAATTTCACAAATAACTTAAATTTAGTTTTAATTTATTGTGTATTAAATTTCATTAGAAACTTTTTAGCTTTTATTATTATTTGGCATATATTTATTCATTTTACGAAATTATTCACTACTGTAATTATGTTACTAATAAAAAACCTGCATTATGAATCAGATCACTGCATTATTTTTTTTATAGATTCTACATAATATAAAGAATATTTGTGCAAATTCTTAAGTTTCGCACTCGCATATTCATCTTCGCACTTTAATTTTTGTCTGATGATCGGCAATAATTAGTGAATTATCATAAACAAATAATATATTTATAATATTATTAAAAATTGTGCTAATAATTATATAATTAAAATCATATAATAATTTAGTGTTTTTACTTAGATTCCATTATTTTTTTGCCACATTATTTGAAAAATATTTGTGATTTTGCAATAAGTTTTTAAAATCCGGAATTAGTGATCAGCAAATGATCGGCAAGGTGATATGAGCATGTCCGCTATGCTTGAAAACTTGCACCAAATTCTTAAAAATTATGACCCTAAGGATATTTTTAATTGTGATGAAACAGGTCTTTTTTTGGAAAATGCAACCCAATCACACTATATCTAATGTTCCTGTTGCTGGAACAAAACAATCAAAAAATCGTATAACTGTTTTGTTTACTTGTAATGCAACTGGAACTGAAAAAATGCTCCCATTATTCATATATAAATATGAAAATTTCTGAGTTCTTAAAAATATTAATAAGAAGACTCTTCCAGTAAATTATTACTGGAACTCAAAGAGCTGGATGCAAGTATCAATCTGAAATGAATACCTCAAAAAGCTTGATGCTCAAATGAGAGCACAAAACTGAAATATTATTCTTCTTGTTGATAATGTATCAACTCATTTTTTATATGAAAATACAAGTCTTATAAATATTACAATTGAATTCCTTCCTCTAAACACTACTGCACACCTCCAACCATGTGATTAAGGAATTATTAATAGTTTTAAAGTGAGCAAATTTAATCTCTATTCTGCATCAGTGATACTTAAATTTTATTGATTATTACTTTATTATTTTTTTTTATTTTAGGCACAATACCAAAAGTTGTTATTATATAATAGAGTTAAAACTTTCGATAATTATAATAAATATGGCATTGAACCTGTTGAAATTAATATTAAAAAGTGCATCAAATATGTTGCACATGTATGGGATGCCATTACGCAATCTACAATTGAAAATTGCTGGTTAAAGAGGGTATTTTACCTAAAGATGATAAAGTTGAAATTGATTTAGAATTTCATGCTGAAACACAAGTTCATCTAATGCATATGAGAGAACTAGAAGAAGTTCAAGATTTAATTGATCAACTTTATCTTGAAAATCCTTTTACTGCTAATGAATTTATTCAATATCTCTAGTAGAAATACGTATACTTATTTTACACTTATTTTACACTTATTTTACACTTATTTTATACTAAAATTTCCATATATTATAAGATTAATTTAATAGTATATTTAGAATAAATTAATAATGATTTGTAAAATACTTTTAATATATTTTTAAAAAATGCATATTAGATTTTTAAAATATTTTGAATTTTCGCCTATTTAAGTATGAAATAAGTATATATTTTTGCATTAAATTTATTATTATATTTAAAAATAAAATTAGTAATTATAAAATATAAAATAAGAGGTATAATAAAATATAAAGTAAATAATTTTTTAATAAAATAAATATAATTTAATAAACATATTATAATAAAATAGAATATTATAAATATTAAATTCATATAAATTAAAAATAAAATTAAGTATATTTAAAATAATTTTTTAATGAAATGAATATAATTTCATAGGCATTTCAACGGTAATTAATAGGCATTTATAGTAAAGATAGAATATTATAAATATTGAATTCGTATAAATTAAAAATAAAATAAGTATATTTAAAATAATTTTTTAATGAAATGAATATAATTTTATAGGCATTTCAACGGTAATTAATAGGCATTTACAGTAAAGATAGAATATTATAAATATTGAATTCGTATAAATTAAAAATAAAAATTAATTTTATTTAAAATAATTTTTAATGAAATAAATAGGCATTTCATGGTAATTTAATCAGTAAAAATAGAATAATTTAATATGTATTTATTTTATGGCAAAAAGGATTCCTTAATGTGTATGATATACATTAATATTGCACCCCCACTGTACGTTAAGGGTACCCATGGCAAAGATAAATGCTAAATTCATATAAATTAAGAATAAAATAAATATTTAATTTTTATAGAGTAAAAACAATATTAGCTTTATTCAAAAGTATTTTAGATATGAAAATAAAAGCTATTTTATCTAATTAGACCTGTTCTTTAAGTATATACTAATCCAGAACTCAACAAAGGTGTTGTTATACTTCAGGAAGATTTGAATAATATTTAAGATCTTTTATTTTAAAGGAAAGAAATAAAATAATAAATTAATAAATTAATATTAATATAATCCTAAATTAATACAAATAACTTACCGTCCTTTTTTGTTTAATTACTTTTTTTTGTACAGTGGTAGTTTATTTAGCTTTTTCTGATCTTCTAGTTGAATTCTGAACTGGTTCACTATTTTAAAATTTATAAATTTTATTATACACTGTTAAATAAAAAAAAAAATAATAGAATTAGTTTATATAATTTATTACAAACCTAATAGAATCATGTTTGCCTCTGTCTTCAGAATTATTAGTTTCTCCAATTTCAGAATCATGATTCTCGTTATTTTCTTCATTTGAATTTCTATTTCCATCCTAATGTTGGATAAAATATAAAAATTAAATAATATTATATAATGCAAAAACTTTAGCAAAGAATTACTTACAACCACTTTAGCATTTTTATGATCTCGCTTCTTTTTAAAGTAACCTTAAATTTATAAATAAATAATAATTTTTACAAATCATATCATGTAATAATACAAATTATTATAAAATTTTATAAATATTAACTTATGAGAACGTTGAAAATTATTGATTAACAGTTCTTTAATTGCCCAATCAGCTCTTGTAGGCGGAAAGTCTGGTGCCTTTTTTTAAAACTGCCGATAATAAAGCTATTAATAATAGTTAGTGAACAAAAAAAAAAATATTTTTTTTTAATACTTACAGCATGAACAATTCCATTTGTTATTTGGGCTTTTTGTTTTCTATAGCTTACATCAAAAGTCACCCCTTTTTTCAAAATACAATCTCTCATGGTTTCCTGTATAAGTTTAAATAAGCTCATTACAAAATTTGTAATGTGCTTTTAAATTTTATAATTATAAAAACATTACAAACCAAATATCCCAACTATCTTTGTTTTTGGTTTTTCAAATCTAAAGCTTTTTGAAGGTTATACTTTCCAAACTGTTTCAGAATGGATAGTGAAATTATCTAATAATAAATTTTTAGATATTTAGTATATATTCATTCAAATTTAATTGTAGCATAGATTCTGATTTAAATCTCAAACCTTTTCTTCTAATACCCTTCAAAATTTTTAATTCATCACTAGTAATCTCATAATTTTCTGATAGAAAATTATGAAAAGTAATTAATTTTTCAATGCTGCTTAATACATCACTTAAGGAAATATTAAAAATAAATTCATTTTCATTATTATCTTGTACTGTTTCTGCATAATGTCTTAATCGCACAGTTTCAACAATCTCATTATCCTCCAACAAAATTTCATTCTCATCTAATTTATCAACATTAATATATTCCAACCCAGATAGAGTATTATTATATGGCAGTTTCTGTATAGCATCATTTAAGTTATTTTCATCATTTTTCCTATTAAAATTAAGCTCTATATTTACATTTTATTCATCATCTGGTGAAATAATACCAGTTTTTAACCAGCAATTTTTAATGTTGAGAAGGTCAACTTAATTTCACGCCTCAACAACAAAATTAATAGTATTACAAATATTAACAGAAGCAATAGGTGTATTTAACTCTTGTGAAATATTATATTCTTCAACTCTATTTTTCACTAACAATTTTCTATACTTGGCCTTAATTTTAATAAAAGTTAATAAAAGATGTTAAAACAATCATTTCAAATATAAACTTATCATACTTACTTTAAAAGAATTAATAATATCTTCTTAGCTATCAGTGCCTATTTTTTTGATTACCATATAATAATCCTGTAATGTATATTTTATAATAATTGACAATATAATTGCTATTATAATTTATTAAAATACCATATTATAATGAAATGTAAAAAAATAATAATTTTGTAATATATAACAATTATCCTTTTATATTAGTTACAATATTAATATTAAATATCATACTTGTTAATAGACTTATTAATATATATGTTATTAAATATGATATTTACATGACATGTCAAAAATTCCTATTAATATTATTTAAAAAGTATTATAAAATACTACCAAAAAAATCACTACTGATAGCAAAGTTAGTCCAAAGGTTGTAAATATAGAGTTGTATTAAGTAGTAAATAATAAATTTCAATATTACTAAAAGAAGGCAATTCATATTGTTTACCATGTATTGGAGCATTATCAACCAATAACAGGATTTTTTATGACGAAGACATATTAACTTATTTAATTTTTTCAAATAATCAAGCCAAATTGATTGTTGCATCCATGCAGTTTTATTCTAATAATATTGTACAAAATCTTCAACTGATATACCATGCAATGGATAAGAATTTTTGTATTTGTGAATGAATATCGGTTTAAGTTTATCTTCACTCATAGCATTGCATGTTAGCAAAATAGTTACTCAATTTTTTGATTTTTTAGTTTCTGTTACAGGTCCTTGTGCAAGAGTTTTTGATGGTTCTAATTGCCAAAATAATGCTGATAAAATAAACAATCACAGATAAATATAAATAAATTACAAATAATCATAAATAATGACAAATTTATAATACCTGGTTTATCACAGTTGTATATATCTTCCAATGCATATTTAGATAATTTTTCTGTAATTTTCGTCTATATTTATCAATTTCTTCTAATAAAGGATCACTAGCTGCTTCTCCCGACTTAATATATGATTAAACGTTATTTTTTTTTTAAAAATTTGACAGTTAACCTGCAAAAGCTATAAATTCAGCAAACTCAAATCTATCTGCAAACTGCTTAGCTTTTTTTTGTAAAATATCACCTCTTAATATTTGGTTTGCAGCTAAAAACTGAGACATCCAAATTCCAACAGCGTCATCTATTTCTTTATACATTGGTTGTTTAAATCTTTTCCTTTTTAGTTCTGAACTTGAAATAAATAGGTATTCAGATTTCCTTTTTAAAATATCACTAACCGTATTAGGTTTAACATTATATTGACGAGTAAGTTCAATATTTGAAATAGACAGATTATCAATTTTCTTTTGGCAAAGCTCTTGCTTTTAAGCTACAAATAAAATTACGTGCTTATTTGTAGACATAACAATAATAGAAGAGTTAATAAAAGGGGTAAAAAAATTGTCTTGTAATTATGGGATATTTAACTTAACTTACATATGTTATTTTACTCTCTTTGGTGAGTATATAGAATAAAAAAATCTTTTTTTATAATGATGATTGATATATAGAAAAAAATTCGTTATAAATTTATCATATATAACTGGTTTACAGATTAACATCAGTATAGTTATATTATGAAATTTATAATAAATTCAGTATATACTAGTAGTAAAATTAATTATATGTGAATTTGGTTTGAAAAAAAAAGTCAGTATGAGTCAAAATCAGTTTATCCTGAATTGGTATATCAAGTTCTGACTGTAGTAAAGAACAAAGTTCCAGCTTATCTATATTAACGTCGCCTGTTGCTACGCCTTGTGTAATTTCAATAACTGAAGCTTCATCCATATTTAGAAAATAATCATTGAGTGATAAAAACATACCAACAGCAAGATGAGCGGCTCTCTTATTTCCATCTATAAATGGGTGATTTTTAATAATGCTCTCTACAAAACCAGCAGCCATTTTAAAAAGAACATTTGGAGAATTAGAAGAGTAATGAAATATTCACTTCAGTCTATAAAGAGCGGATTCAAGCGAATGCGCATTAATAAGATGTTGTTTTTGACCTAAACTTTCCATCATTTCCTTATGATGTCTAAGAAAAACATCTGTATCGACATAATTTGGCTCATCAGTGTGCATCGTGAAATAAGGCTTGGAATTAGCTACTACTTCATTCACTTGTCTCGTAAACTCACATAAATATTCCAATTTTTGCGAAGGACATATTTTGCCACTTCGTCTTGCAAATTCTGCGGCGGTGTATGATCTAACATAATTTATATGAATAAGAACAAAGCATATGAGTATATAAGAATCAGTAACTGATCTATTCTAAGATTCTCTATGACACGTACCTAAAATTTCTCTCAATGTTCTTGTGTCTAAAGGATTGAACGAGGAGGGCATGGATAACTTTGATGGTTCAGATGACTTTGACTGTTTGGATAACTTTGATGATTCAGATGACTTTGACTGTTTGGATAACTTTGATAACTTTGCTGTTTGTAATATCTTGACGAACCTTTTACAAATGAATAAATAATATAAGTAACATATGTCAGAAAATGACATAGCAAGGTACTTACGATTTAAGTAAACACCCCATCGTGAAAGAAAAGTTGGAAGACGCATTGAAAAAAAAAGCAGGGAGAAAAAATTTTAATGAGTATAGTAATTATATAGTACATCTATCAACAGGTGATAGCAAAGCCACAAAAATGGACTTCTCTAGCGTAATCTGAAAAAATGTTACGAAATGGCCAGCATTACGCAACTTGACTGAAATTAAGTGTGATGCACTTATGATGAATAAGATGTGACGAATAAGTTTTTACCTACTCGAAAAAAACAAAGTCCCTCAGATACTTATAGAAAATAGAAATGCAGTGGAGTGTGATAGTTGTAACAAAAAAGTCATGTGATTTTTCGTGACATTTTTTTTAGATTACACTGGAAAAGTCCAAAAATGTTACTGCGCAAATGAGACGATCATTTTGGATCAAATGTAAATCTTTATTATATTTTGCAAAGAGAAAAGGTCCGGCCGGAGAAGTAAAAAATGTAAAAAATGATAATGGAGTAGCAGGTTGTTTCAAGGGAGGAATTTGCTGAGCTCTAACCCATATAGTGACAGTTCTTTTCCCGCTACTCAGTAACGATGTAAATGAGTATTATCTATCTAAGCACCTATCTTTTCTAAGTTTTCACTTTTTATATTTTCCCCACAATAAAACCCTTTATTGTATCTTTCCCAATTACTCACATCCTAAGTCTAAGAATATCAAACAATACAACAGCACACATCTGATCTAAAGAATAATTATTCACACCCTTAACCCTATCAAAGACTCCCGTAAACTGTTCCCGGATTACAGAAATGATATTCACGAATCTTTGGCTTGAGCCTGCAACCAAAAAAATGTTAGTCAAACCCCCTAATATATAAAGCATTGATTATCAATAATTATTTTGTTTTTATCTTACCAGAAGAATCGGATGAGCTTGAAGACAAAATATTTGAAGAGCCTCCCAAATTAGTTTCAGATCTATTGGTCAAATTAGCTTCAAATTCATTGGACACACTTTGTTGGTCAAAATTGGATCTTTGAACTACTGTGTAATGTTGATTTATTTCGTTTTGGAGATTTTTGATAACAACATTAATTCTGCCAAATTCATTACAGCAGGCTTCTTCGATATCATTAACTTTCATAGTTATGTTTAAAAAATTTTCTGCGCCTCCTTAGTGAAGTCATCATCACGTGCCTTGTTTTTTTCGGCTTCCGCGGTAAGTTTACTATTAAGTTCAGAATTAATTTTGGAAAGGCGTGCGGAAATTTTATTGGCGATTTTGGTGCTAACTTCCACGCCAAGGTTTTATTCATTTCTTTTCAATTTCTGCAGTAATACTTCCATCACGTAAGAAGAGATCATCCACGATTTTAGTATTAATTTCATTCTTAATTTTGGTGATTTTCACATCTCCACATTAATAAACGTTTTAACTTCTGCATCACGTGCAAAGATTTCATCAGAAATTTTTTGTTTGAGAAACATCCACATGGTAATGATCTCTATGAATATCGCCGAAATAACAAAAAAATAGCGGTTAAGTCAAATAAGGCATGACTTCTGAAGAGTTGAGTAATGACAGATTGGACATGATTAGGTAAATTGATATGTAGTAATTTTATTAAGAGATTTTATTGGTGGATCAAATTTTTTTAGATATTAACGATTTATTTTTTAATATGCAATTCTCTTACGTAAATACGCTGAAAAAAAGCTCTATTTTATACTGTATGCCTACAACGTGTGAAAATGAGAATTTAACCTGATTTGCCAAAGGCGCTTCGCTAAATAGATCAAATAAAAAATTACGTTGCTTCATTATATGTATTTGTCATAATAATTTTTTTTTCATAATTTGAGGCGCATTTAATAATACTGCTTAAAAGTAAATCTGAAGAATTTATGGTTTTATGACAACTTAATGTGATACTAATGGAGCAATGCTGTCTCATGCAAAGCGCCTTATGGCAAATTTTCCATTTATTTTAAGATCTCTTGCGAAACAGAAGATCGCATGTGGTGCATCTTTGTTTGAGTTCACAGTCCCACTCTTATTTCAATTGTAATCACGAAAAAAAGAATAAAAATCGAAATATTTGTTCATCATAGATCGAGATCTGTAAAAACAGTAGATAATGAGTCACACATGTTGGAATATGTACCACTAATTCCTATTCAAAAACGGATTAATTTGTTATTAGCCATACACGTAATTTGAATGTGCTAATGTCAGTAGGATAATAAAAATATACTGTTTAAATCTGTAAATCATCGCTCTATTTCCATTTTGATTTTCTTTTTAATGATGCCCTGTCTTATAATCTGCAAAATGTAAATCAGGGATGCGGTTTTTTTATTAGTAATTCAGAACTGCGTAATAAGCGATATAGAACATACCAAAACTTTGGGGAAAGTTCATCATAGCAACAAAAATATTGGTTTATTAATAGATCCTCTATCTTAGCACCTTTAGCAAAAATGACGATTGCGGATGTCAGTGACGTATTACTGCGTCTAGCATATTCTGCAGATTCACATGAGCCAGTGACGTAATTATTGCGGATGACGTTTTACTGTGCATTATATCTAATTAAGTCATTCACATAATTCGAAAAAAAAGAAATATACGAATTCGCATAATTCAGTCAATGCGAGTAATTAATTCGCCCAATAATTCTTCTAGACGGTTACTGGAGAGATAATAGAACTCATCATTGGTGAGCTTTTTCTTTCGTATCTTCTGTTATGATAATAATAACCTCTATCACATTCACCATATTCATTATATCCACCGTAACTATTATATCCATCATCATCCGAATCGTCTGGCATCTCTTCTTCAGAATCATTGTCATGACACAGTCACTATCATCATTTATCTTAACTTTATTCGTTTCTTTCTCTATTGACGAAGGCATGGAATCATTAAAATACACATCATCATAATCGACATTATTCTCTGCCTCAGATGGAGTGATTTGAAGTGTAAATGATGAATTACCTAAAGAATTAGAGCCATGTGTAACAGGAATAGGTGCGATTAATTCGCTTACCTCAACTGAATTTTGGCCAGGGCCCCCGGCTAAAATCTCAGTCATGTGACTTGACACATCAGTGTTATCATTATCATAATGCTCGGAAAAATTATCTATGATATCTTGAACTTTATCATTAGTCAACTCAGAGATAGAGTTCACACTATATGTCGTAATATACTTAATATTCTTTACGCCTACCTTTCAAATATCATATATATCTTTACAGCTTTCTGAGTTTTCCTTTGTAAGTTTTTACGGGAGATTTCTGGAAGACGCAATCCTGTCTCTTCAGATCGTTGCTTTTGCAACATGAATAGGTGTTCTAACATTTTATCATAGATTATCCCTTTGCCTTTTTTTCGCCTATTTTGCCTTTTCCATCTTGTACAATCACACTAACCTGGGTTAAAAATTCCTTTTTATAATAATATCAGCGCAAAATCTCTTTCTGATTAGTACGAATTGCGCCATATTTAGCATCATCCGCTTTATCAAATAATTGAGCTAGAGAAAGCAACGAATCTGTAGATGAATTTTGGTTAAGACTCTCAATTTAAATCACATCACAAGGAGTGGCTTTATTACTCAATTGGGTATCTTTCTTAATACCATCAGCTATCATTTGTACGATGTTTTCTACATCTTTCTTTCTATGGCTATTTTGGCCAGAAAATTTCAGTCACGGGATTTGATACCTCCAGTATCTTTTCAGAAGTGGAGCACCCAGTGTCAGATTCTTGATCTTGGTTAAGAGATGCTTGCTCTGCTTTGCTAAGTTTCTTTTCCTTATTGTGTTACTTTATTTCATTACTAACAATTATCTTATGAACCTCAAGCAAGAAATTATCCATCTCTTTCTCCTTTAACAATTTTTCATGATGGACCGCACCCAAATTGAAGTTAGATAAGTTATTGTTAGGGGTAATATTTCTTTTATCCTGAGTGCCTTTGGCTGAGTCATTTTGTAACTGGTTCTGTTTCACTTTTGTGATACGATCTTTAAGTTCAGCATTCTCATATTTCAACTTCTCGATTGTAGCCCCAAGTTTTACATTTTCAGCATCATGCTTAGCATCTTTCTTTATAACCTGCTTTAGAAGTTCAGCATTTTTGATCTCAATCTCAGCTTTCTCAGCTTCAAGCTTGGCATTATTAGTCTCAAGTTCAGTGATACGCTGTTTCAATGATTCAAGCTCGGATGACATGATCTATATGTATAACTGATACACTGTATATAAGCATTCAAAATAAAAAAATATGTGTTTTTGGGCGAACTGAATTCGCTGAAATTTGCCAAGAAAAATTTTATTATTACATGCGAAAAATAAATACAAATGTTTGGGATAGTGCTCTGAAAAAAATCTGATCTGATCAGATTTGATCTGAATCTGATCTGTCAGATTCAAATCAGATCAGATAAATTTAATCTGCAGTTCGGATGTAGATCAAAAAAAATTTGATCTGAACAAATCAGATTAGCTTCAGATCAAATCAGATCAGATCAGATCAGATTCAGATTAGGCTTATTTAAAATCTGAATCTGATCAGATTGAATCTGACAGATTTGATTCAGATCTTAGATTTGATTTTACTAATAATTTCAGCTGAATTCATAATGCCGGCTGGAATTAATTCATAATTTTACACTCCAGCCAAAACGGATATGTTGATCATTTCCTTTTTTTGGCGATAGCAGGACCCCGGACAATTATATGAGATGTGGGGGGAAAAAAAATGATAAAATTTGGAAAAATTTACCCCAAAAATTTTTGGATTTTATACCCACTTTTATATATACTACATTTAAAAAATTCGAAATTTACCCAAATTTTACATACCAGATTAGTACCAGATTAGTAAAAATTATTTTATTTATTTTTTCCTTTTTGATTAAGACAACGTAAAATACAAGATAAAATACTATCATTAGAAAGTGTTTGATAAATCTGGTATGCGTTAGATTGTAATGAATACATATCTGTACATGATTTTTCTACTTGATATCCCAAATAATAAAGTATTCGTTTAGATGTTAAATGACAAAAATATTCGTATCCTTCTTCACACTTTGAATAAAACAAATTATTCTGTAAATTTCTGAATACTTTAGTGGATACATATGTAATTAGATTAACTTCATTTATAGGTTCTTCAGTATATGAATGATTATTTCCAGTTGATGTACGATAATAAATTGCAAGTATTTGTACAAGACATATTTCCTTATTAATTAATGTTAATGCAAATCCTCCCTTTTGTACAGGATAAATTGAAGAAATATTTGCCGTACAGATCGAAGGAACATAATCTAAAACTATAAAATATTTAATTAAATATTTAATAATTATTAGTAAAAATTAATAAATCAGTTAATACTTACTGTAATTTGGCAATTGTAATTCTCGCGAATTTTTTAACATTTCATTGACATTTTCAAATCTTTTTCTAATATCCCATCGTTCTAATCGTGCTTTTGGTAATCTTGTATTATTATTATTATTAGTAACTTGCGCAACTATTTTGCTAGCAATAGATGGATTAATTTCTGACGAATTATAGTCTCTTTCCTGAAACTGTGACCGGATCATTTTTTTTGAAGTATAAGCTTTGTGATATTTTCGGCGTTGATGTAGTAGATCAAAAATTACATTGCCATTATTATCTAATATATCAGGATTGTTGTCATCATAAATTTGTTGTAAATATGTATTATTAGATAAATTTGTTATCTGTTCACGAGCATCTATCAAATCCTCATCTGTATCATTTCGTAAATTTAAGCTTGCAACATTTTCCATCATTTCAGCAACTTCTGCTAAAATTTCTTCTCCATCTCGAAATTCTTTTGTTAAATTTTCTTCAATTGGCGTTATTTCACTTGTTAGGAGATCAATTGGAGATGATGGTAATAATGTAACTACCATAGAAACACATTTCGCCAAAGCATTTGCTTCTCTATATGCATCATTAATAAGAACTCTAATTTCGTCATCTGTAGGCCAAATTTTTAAACTTGAATTTAAATTGTCAACATTTCCTTCAAAATAATCACAAATATAACCTATTAAATTTTTTTATAAATTAAATTAGAGATTGATTATAATAATAAAATGCTGAAAATTATTAAATAAACCAACCAACTCGAGAAGTTTTATATTCTGAATTTGGATTGACAATTGTAGAATTATAATAGGCATTTGTAACATGGCGAATTTTAGGAATTAGATAAATTAAATCTGCATATGTAAAATCGGGTAAGTGTTGCCGCGCCATTCCAAAAAAATGCTCGCATGCCTCACTTCCATGCATCCAAGGTAATAATGGCATTGAATTATAGTATTCCTGATGTGCTATGATAAGTAAAATCTGTAATAATAAAACCAGCACTATTACTATTTATCTAATTTGATAAAATTAATTATAAAAAAATTGAAATTATAATACCATTGAATCAACAAGAAAAGACAATATTTCATAAGTTTGATGAGCTAAAAAATTACGATCATTTGCAAAAATCTCTTCATATTTATCTGATGCATTTTGAATAAATTGTTTCCATATTCTTAAAAAAAAACTGCTCATCATAACCATTTTGATTCTTTCATGGTTAGAAATATCTCGATTGAGATATGAATCAATTAATTCTCCTTTTAAAAGTAATAAAATAATATATTAGTAAATTAACTTTATAATAATAAATTAAACACAATAAATCAAATTTTAATTTACCAATAATAAACAAATAAACTAATAATCCTTTGTTTTTAGAATCAGAATTTAAAGTTTGAGTTACTTCATATAAAAATTCGTAAGAAAAAAGCCGATACGCGGCTCCATCTTCTTGTTTATCAACATTTAAAACATCTGCATGATACAGAGCAGAATTCGGTGATTTAGACAATCCTAATACATGACCAAAACCTAGGAAACTATCTCCAAAAGTCAGCATTCGAGCGCCACTAAAAATACTATTTCGTCCATTTTTTTTCGCATGCTTTGGATCTGAAATACAAACAATAGGACCAATGTTTGGAATTATAGGACAATGTAATTTGATATCTAAATAAAAAAGTCATTAATAATAAAGACTAAAAGATTTAATGCTGAAGTAAATTAATTATATACATACTATATAATTCATCATTAAATTCAAGTTTCGTTTGGGTATTAGTTTGCATAATATTCTTTTGAGCTTTAATTTCTATCGATGCGCCATCGGCTCCAATTGATAATATATGAATTTTAAAATGTGCAGCAAGTTCTAAAACTTGATTATGAATTTCATATACATCAGATACATTTTCACTATTATTTGGAATAATTCCGAGTACAAATGGTGGTACTTTAGGAACTGGCACTTGTAAAATATATACACGAACATATTTAGCTATTGCATTATTTGTTTGAATCTTTTTTACAATAGTATCAATTTCACCATAAGAAGATATTAAAGTTTCTTTTAACGGAAATGTAGACCCAAGAATTGCACCCAAACTTGCAGAATAACGTAATTTTTCTTCAAGTTTTGTGTTATCTGTTGATGCAGCGATTGGCCCATCATAATTAATGCTATTTAAAAACTTTCTAAATTTAGCCATATTTTCAAAGCATATCGATGGATCATCAATTGCTAAATCTGATTGAGCACGTTGTACACTAAAAATTAATTAAATAGAATTAAAATTAAAATTAAAATATACAGTATAAAAAGTATTGATATACGATAAAAATTATTTACCGGATATTTCTAATTGTTCTTCCTGCAAGATTTTTTTGAAAAATAGCATATGTTTGTGGACTGCTACTTGCTAAAATAGTTAAAAAATTAGAAAATTGTTCGGGATATCTAATATTTTGGAGCCCTTTTCCTTCATTAATACGATTTGTCATTTCCACAAAAATTTCACATAATCCAGAAAAAATTTGTTTATCTTTAAAGGCACCAGCTCGTCCCATTCTTGCTAATTGATTCCAAAATTTTGGAGTACAATCTTCTGGATCATTAAAGTATCCTAACAATTCCATGACATTTGCATTTTTACAATATTGATAAAATGGAGAATTTTTATAAAGAATTAAAGGAGTGTATTTTTGGTTTTTTTCTTTAGGAATTGGTTTATCAATTGCGTTCTATTTAATATAATTTACCATTTATAAATAAATATATATTATAAAGAATAATTTATAAAAATAAAAAATTTAATTACCAGAAAAACCTTTAATTTTTTCAAATTAAGACATTGCTTACAAACTTCGCCAATTCCATCAACATATGTTGAACATTCAGTACTTCTAACACAAAAAGTTGTGCTATCATTTATCCACTTTGCTTGTGATCGTAAAGTATCTAAAAGTTGATCATTTTCTTTTTTATTCAAATCGTTCCAGTGAAACGATGATTTGATTTTATCACCAAACAATTCTCGTGCTACAATTTCTGGAGGAGGAGCACCACCAAATGTGGTTACAAAACCGATGCGACGTAAATATAATTTAACTTTTTCATCATTTAATCCGACACAAAGTTTTCTTTTAGTATTTGAAGTTTCTGAATCTTGGGTTGAAAAAAATTGTGTAATTTGAGCGTTTCCATCATTACTTTTACATATTTTCTTTTTAACATGACGGTCAAGAAGATCTGGATCATAGTTTCTATCAAGGCGAACTTTTTTACCACATATACATATTACAGTTTTTGGATCAATAATTTTTCTAACTTTTGGATGTTTTGAGAGTGTCGCTTCTGTATGTTTCATTTTTATTAACAAAATAATTTTTTTATGTAAAACAAATATGTTATCACGTCAAGAGGTCAAATCTTTAATTTTTTTTTCTCCACTTTATTAACTTTATCAATGTGACAATAATTGAATTTTTTTACATATTGTAGTAACGGTAAATTGTAAATTTAGGACTATTGCAGTAAATGATTTACCATATATAATAATGGTATCACGGAATTTACCCCTTTTTATAATATACCACCTAAAAAATCACAAAATTTTACCCATAAAAAATCATACCACTATTTTTTTAGTTACCCCATTTTACCCCCCACATTTTTTTAAAAAACCCGTTTTTTACATACCACCTTTCAAAAAAATTTTTTAAAATTTACCCCATTACATACATACCAGATCAAATATAATTGTCCGGGGTCCTGCGATAGCCATTTCACAAAAATCGATTTTTATAGAAACCAAATTGGAATTTTGTGTAACCCAAATTTCCTTTTTAGGAAATCCCATAATTCCTGCCGGAGTTAAGTGCATAATTCTGGCCGAATTACATATTTACAAATTATAGCTTTAGAATTTATACCATTTATTCAGATTCAAATCAGATTCAAATCAGATCAGATCAGATTTGAATCTGATTAAATCTGATCTGATTCAGATTAAATTTAAACTGATCTGATTCAGATCAAATCAGATCAGATCAGATTTAATTAATTTCAGATCAGATTGAATCTAAATAAAATCTGATCTGATCTGATCTGTTAGGAGCACTAGTTTGGAATTCCGCCTGTAATACATGACGTCTATGCTATGGCTAATCCTACAGTCTAACTAACTACTTGACATTTACATGACTTGAAAATTCGCCCCTCCTTTTTTACGAAATGTCTGTAAAATATATGATTATTAATTATAAGAAATTAGCTATTAGCCATTATGACGCTTCGCAGGCGCTTCGCAAGATTGCAAGAAATAGGAATTTGCGAAATAATAAATCTTACGTATTATATCTATTTAGCAAGTTAGAGTATTTGAGCTGTTCCTCCTTGAAAAGCTTTCTCTTCTTTTTTGTGTCCTCCCGACTTGCCATACCAAAATCAATCAGATAGACGTCACTGTCATCATTAATTAAGATGTTTTCCTCCTAAATGTCATTGTGGAAGATGCCATGTTTGTGGATCGCTTCTAATCCCTTTTGCTGAAATCTTCAAATTTGCCACAATATTTTAATAATACATTTTCAACATCTTTACGATGACATCATGATTTTTTTTTGAAGATATCATGACAATATAGTTATGATAGTATTAATGATACCTTTCCAACATCTTCGTGATATTAAAATCGGTAACATTTTGATATCAGAATGATATCATATTGATTTCGTAATTTGATATCACAAAGATGTTGAAAAGGTATCGTTAAGACTATCATAACTATATCGTCACAATATCTTCAAAAAAATCGTGATGTCGTTGTGAAGATGTTACGATGATATTGAAAATGTATCGATATAATTATCAAACCGTACTGTTACGATATTATTTAAAAATCATGATGTTATCAAACTGTACTGTTACGATATCATTTAAAAATCGTAATGTTATCAAACTGTACTGTTACGATATCATTTAAAAATCGTGATGTTATCAAACCGTACTGTTACGATATCATTTAAAAATCGTGATATTATCATGAAGATATTACGATGATGTTAAAAATGTATCGATATAATTATCAAACCGTACTGTTACGATATCATTTAAAAATATTATTTCATTTAAAAATATTATTAAGATATCAGGACGACATTTACACAGTATCAAGATGATATTTGACAAGAATTTTGGGTCATGAAAAAATTGTGAACCGTAGGTACTAGTACATTCAATAATTTTTATTAATTGATAATGCCGTATATATTATTAATATGCAATTATGATGGTCAAAATGAAAAATAAAAACAACGTATCGATATCATTGTTATTACAGCTTGAAGT